TCCTGCACGGTGTTGGGCTGTAAGCACAACCCCCACCTGTGGACGTCGGGCCCTCATACCACCCTCATGGAGTCTGTTTCTGACCGTTTGAGCAAACACATGCACATTTGTGGCCTGCTGGAGGTCATTTTGCAGGGCTCTGGCAGTGCTCCTTCTGCTCATCCTTGCACAAAGGCGGAGGTAGCAGTCCTGCTGCTGGGTTGTTGCCCTCCTATGGCCTCCTCCACGTCTCCTGATGTACTGGCCTGTCTCCTGGTAGCGCCTCCATGCTCTGGACACTACGCTGACAGACACAGCAAACCTTCTTGCCACAGCTCGCATTGATGTGTCATCCTGGATGAGCTGCACTACCTGAGCCACTTGTGTGGGTTGTAGACTCCGTCTCATGCTACCACTAGAGTGAAAGCACCGCCAGCATTCAAAAGTGACCAAAACATCAGCCAGGAAGCATAGAAACTGAGAAGTGGTCTGTGGTCACCACCTGCAAAACCAGTCCTTTATTGGGGGTGTCTTGCTAATTGCCTATAATTTCCACCTGTTGTCTATTCCATTTGCACAACAGCATGTGAAATGTATTGTCAATCAGTGTTGTTTCCTAAGTGGACAGTTTGATTTCACAGAAGTGTGATTGACTTGGAGTTACATTGTGTTGTTTAAGTGTTCCCTTTATTTTTTTGAGCAGTGTATATGATGGTGTGTATAGACATTATGGACAATAAATGAATAGACAAGGTGTATACAGCAGTAGTTATATAAGATAAGCCATGACTAGAATACAGTATATACATATGAAGTGGGTAAAACAGTATGTAAACATTATTAAAGTGACCAGTGTTCAATGACTATGTACATAGGGCAGGGTTGAGTACCGGGTGGTAGCCGGCTTGTAACAGTGCGTTTGTATGTCCCTGTGAATCTGACAGAGAAATGTACACACACACACACAACTCACCCGTCGTTGGAGCAGGTCATAAACTCATCCTTAATCTTGGGGTGCCAACAGCCGCTGTTCAGCATGGCAGTGTGACCCTGAAATAAAAAGAGACAGAGAAACATAGTTAAATGGCTATAATTTTACCCAATCAGCACTGAGGAATCTGGATTTAAACAAGTAACAACCAAACATCAATTTTACAGAGAGTGGCACATGTCTTGCATAGCAGCCTGATCTCACTGCTCCTAGTTAGCCTTTGGTCCTTCTCCAGAGAAAAGAGATAGACCCAGAGGGAAGGAGAGACCCCCCCCCCCCCCCAAGAGACTGAGCCAATGACCCCTTAACCCCAGAATCAGCCAGGCCCAGTGGAGCTCCCTCTGCCTCCAAACTGTGAGCTCATAGCACTGTGACCTCCAGCAGGGCTCTCCTCTGGTAAAAAAGCACACACAGAATTAGCCATAACAAATAACATCTTCAAAGAGCGACTGCCCAGAGAGAGGCCTCTCGCACTGAGAGGGCAGGGGATTTCTCCGGCATGCAGCAGAGAGAGTTCAGACATGACATATCTCAATCTGACAGAGCAGATAGGAAGGAGCGGGCTTCGTGCACAGGAGTTGAGCAGAATGACATCAGTGTGTGGATTGTAAAGAGAGGCCTGCCTGCTCACTGTGCGATCCCATTTGCCCTTTTATCATGGGACTGGACACGTCCCGGTTTTCACCTTTATCACGACATATCGAACACAATCAAACCGTCATTATATCTCAGCATTTAAATGCTATATCTCTCTATACTGTAAAATGCAAGGACTACTTTTAATATTCACGGATGGAGAACAAAAAGTATTTCAACCTATACTTGTAATGTTTAGGGTACAGTCCATAAACGGTGTTGTATGTTTAGAGCTTAAATGGTTTGTAAATGTCGGAATTGCTTCCATGTTCTGGCAAACGGCATTAAAACAAACAGCTCTGGTCAATCACAGTGATAGCCTTTTAATTGGACTGGAGGAAGTACCATTGCTATGCACATCTGATTCCCCTGCTCCCCAACAGAACAGGAGAGGACAGCCAACTGCCACTGCCTAATTAGAACCAGACTGATACACATACTTGACAGTAAAACACCACATCAAGAGAATAGGCCTAATTACAAACAGAAACCTGGGCGGAAATCAGCCTCACTGATACTAGGAAAGCCTTTAGAGTGTGTGTGTGTGTGTGTGTGTGTGTGTGAAAACATTTGATTCAGTTACATATCAGGATATTATTTTTGACGATATATCGATCATATCGTTATAAAAATATCACAATATTTTTTTGTGCTAGTTGGCTGTACCTGCACCAAAACTCCAGTATTTTTTAATAGATTACAGCACTTTTATTTCGATGACTGATCAAAACTTTCTCATGGCTCTCTCTTGTCCCTCTGCAGCAGACATATGGTGAGCAATATGTTTGGAACATCGAATCACAATAAAATCACAGTATCGAAGGGCCTCCCGAGTGGCGCAGCGGTTTAAGGCACTGCATCGCAGTGCTAGAGGCGTCACTACATACCCGGGTTCGATCCCGGGCTGTATCACAACCGGCCGTGATTGTGAGTTCGATAGGGCGGCGCACAATTGGCCCAGCGTAGTCCGAGTTAGGGGAGGGTTTGGCTGGGGGGGCTTTACTTGGCTCATTGCACTCTAGCGACTCCTTGTGGCGGGCCGGGCACCTGCAGGCTGACCTCGGTCGTCAGTTGAACGGTGTTTCAAATCAAATCAAATGTTATTTGCCACATGCACCGAATACAACAGGTGTAGACATTAAAGTGAAATGCTTACTTACAAGCCCTTAACCAACAATGCAGTATTTTAAAGAAAATAAAAAAAAGTGTTAAGTAAAAAATAGATAAGTAAAAAATAAAAGCAAATAACTAAAGAGCAGCAGTAAAATAAAATAACAGTAGGGAGGCTATATACAGGGGGGTACCAGCTAGTCGAGGTAATTGAGGTAATAGGTACATGTGGGTAGAGTTAAAGTGACTATGCAAAAATAATACACAGAGTAGCAGCAGCGTAAAAGAGGAGGATGGGGTGGTGTGGGGGGGCAGTGCAAATAGTCTGGGTAGCCATGATTAGCTGTTCAGGAGTCTTATGGCTTGGGGGTAGAAGCTGTTAAGAAGCCTTTTGGACCTAGACTTGGCGCTCCGGTACCGCTTGCCGTGCGGTAGCAGAGAGAACAGTCTATGACTAGGGTCACTGGAGTCTTTGACAATTATTAGGGCCTTCCTCTGACACCGCCTGGTATAGAGGTCCTGGATGGCAGGAAGCTTGGCCCCAGTGATGTCCTGGGCCGTACGCACTACCCTCTGTAGTGCCTTGCGGTCGGAGGCAGAGCAGTTGCCATACCAGGCGGTGATGCAACCAGTAAGGATGCTCTCGATGGTACAGCTGTAGAACTGTGAGGATCTGAGGACCCATGCCAAATCTTTTCAGTCTCCTGAGGGGGAATAGGCTTTGTCGTGCCCTCTTCACGACTGTCTTGGTGTGTTTGGACCATGATAGTTTGTTGGTGATGTGGACACCAAGGAACTTGAAGCTCTCAACCTGTTCCACTACAGCCCTGTTGATGAGAATGGGGGCGTGCTCAGTCCTCTTTTTTTTCCTGTAGTCCACAATCATCTCCTTTGTCTTGATCACGTTGAGGGAGAGGTTGTTATCCTGGCACCACACGGGCCAGGTCTCTGACCTCCTCCCTATAGGCTGTCTCATCGTTGTCGGTGATCAGGCCTACCACTGTTGTGTCGTCTGAAAACTTAATGATGGTGTTGGAGTCGTGCCTGGCCATGCAGTCATGGGTGACCAGGGAGTACAGGAGGGGACTGAGCACGCACCCCTGAGGGGCCCCCGTGTTGAGGATCAGCGTGGCAGATGTGTTGTTACCTACCCTTACCACCTGGGGGCGGCCCGTCAGGAAGTCCAGGATCCAGGGGGCCTCCGACACATTGGTGCGGCTGGCTTCCGGGTTAAGCGGGCGGGGTTAAGAAGCGTGGTTTGGCGGGTCATGTTTCGGAGGACGCATGACTCGACCTTTGCCTCCTGAGCCCGTTGGGGAGTTGCAGCGATGAGATAAGATCGAAATTGGGGGGGAAAAAGGGGGTGAAATACAATCACAGTATCGAATCGCAATACATATAGAATCTTGAAAATTGTGAGAATCGCAATACATATCGTACTGCCAAACAAAGTATTGTGATAATATTGTGAGGTCCCTGGCAATTCCTAGCCCACGTGTGCTTGAGTGTACAGTGTGAGAGAGAGAGCATATGGGTGGGTGCTGTGGAAGAGACAGAGAGCAGAAGAGAGTGAGGGAGAAAGAGAGAGACTAGTGCGTGTGTGGTGGTGATGTGAGAGAATTGGTTTTGGACACAATACATTAGCTTGGTCACCTTCAGCGGTCCACTGCAGAGCTTCATTACCCAGAACCCTGCTGCCAGTTACAGCCCGAATGGAGCAGTGGATCCACAGGAATATAGAGACAGAGGGACACCCTACAGTAATTCCCAGCTGCAGCCAACAACACAGTTCTCCTACTGGGGAAGTCATCTCTATCACATCATTCTCACAGGTGTGTCTAAGTGGCATTGCAGCTGCCTGGGATGGTCATTGACCAGCCACCATGCAGAACATGCTCTGCACAGTCAATAATGGCCTTTTAGACAGCAAAACTGTTCACCCAAGATGTATTGAATGAACGCGACCTTGGTCAGTGGTCGGTCACCACGGCCTGAACTAGTTGTGAATGTCATTATGACCCTCTCCTTCTCTACTCTGACTGCTCCCAGCTGCAAGCACAGTACACATCATTACCCCCATACACAAACTAACCCGCAGCTGCGGAACTACCCTGAGAACATACAGTGCAGGGGTCATCACTGACACAAAGCTAGGCCCAGGCCCGAATGCTTGTTTGAGTGGCCACCGACAGGGGGCTTGAAGGACATAGTGTCCGATGGATATTTCTCATTAACATTGGAACCACATATCAGAGAGTAGGTGATGGATGAGTGTGTGTACCTTGGTGTTAGCCATGTCCACAATGTACTGGTCTCCCTTGGGACACTCCATGACCGGGAACCCGTCTCGGTCCAACACCTTGGCCTGGGCATTCCCAGAGACCACCAGGATGACATCACCAGTGATGCTGTATTGCAGGGACCTGATCTGGTGGCTGAGAAGGAACACAAAGGGAGAGGATGAGAAAGGCAAAGCTTTTTTACTTATCATTCCTGTGGCTACCATTGGTCATTCATGAAATACGTGCAGTAAATGTCTTTGTAGGTGTTTCTGTTGAATTGGTGAGAGACATCTGCTAGGTCTGAATGTGTACAACATCAGAGCTGCAGCGTTGTTATATAACAGCTTTTAATCCTGAAGAAGTTTTAAACAAAACTAACCACTAGGCTCCTGTTACCATAGGGACCGTGACAACACACATCACAGAGAGTTAGCGGAAACAGTCAGATGATTGGTCCATTTGACTTGGACCAGACAGACAGACAGTGGATATGTCTAGGTCTGGGCCTCTCTCTGTCTTGTTCCTCAGACTCAACACAATGAAAAGTCCATTAGACTGGGACAGAAGAATAGAACACACTGAGCCTAGCCTTGGCTGCACTACACATCGTTGGGTTTCTTCTTTCCAGCAAGAAAAGGAGAGTGGAGAGGTTCAAATATGAGCCCAAAGATTGGGATTTGCTACACCAGCAACCCATTCACAATACCAATCTATGCTCTGAACTGTTACTTACCCCCTACTGTTACCTCCTACCCCCATGCACACACACACACCATACGTGTCAAACACACACACATTACCACTCTCCCAAAGTGCAGATAGCAATTCAGGTCAATATCAAACTGCATTAACACCGCAGGGGGTAGAGGGGCCAGCCAGGGTTCGTGCGGGGAGTGGGGACCATTGTGAAATAAAATTGGGTTATTTCTGTTCCTATCTCCAGGGGCTGGAGCACAGATAGCCATCACTAGATGTCCTTTAAAGGAAGAGTCAATAACACTGAACCAATCAAGGTTCCTCATTAAGGAGAAATAACCCCTAGTTTTTAACACTAGTGTGCCCTGCAGGTCGATGGAGGAACATTGGGCTTCACACGGCTCTCCAAATATGGCCTAGTGTGTCAGTGACCGCAGAGACTATTGGATGGCTCTGTAATCAGGCTAAATGTGCCATAGAGTTCTGCTAATAAGATTCAGGGAAAGCCCGCTCCAGCTCAGCCCATTGGTTCTCAAAACCCCTGAGAGAATGTATTCATTGATGGGTTCCACGAAATGACCATTAAATACACACAGTTATACACATGTACACAAACACATACAAAAGCTCTTCTCTCATCTGCATCCGAGTATACAGTATTTAGGTTAGTCCATTTAAATAAAGAGAGAAGATCCATTCCTCTGACATGAGGTACTACAGTTAACATGAAGTTCGCTGAAGCAATACAACAACATGTTTGTGCATGTGTAGGAGCATTTTGATAGCAAGGTTTCCTTAGCCGGCAATTGCCGGTTTTTGGCCAATAAATTAAATTAAAAGCCGATAAATACAATTGTTGCCAGACAAATTGTCCGTGGGTGCATATCATACATCCCGATTTCGCTCTACAGCACCATTCTCTCACTCCTTGCTCGCTGCCTTACGTGCATGTGCCTGCTGCGGTGGAGAGAGAGAGAGAGAGAGAGGAGCCTTGGGCTACTGTTGATTGCGACCTACTCGTGACCTACTTGTTGTGTGTATGTACTGACATGTATGTGCTACTGATAGATGCACACATACACTACTTGTTAAGTCTTTTGTCTGTAATGTATTTTTCGTGACGTATCGGACCCCAATAAAAACGAAAGTTAGAGTCAGAGTACGCCTATAGGGGCCAATTCAGACTTAGGAAATGTAAGCCTTTCCTACACACTTCTCAGTATTTGGTATTCAGTCGTGTAATACAGGTGTGGCTACCTTGCGTGCTCTCATCTTAAGCCATCCCTTTAAATACGGTGTAACTTTTAGTTTCGAATTCTGTCTACAGACTCTCTAGAATATATCGAAAGAACGGGTTTAGAATATTAGGTATCAATGAAAGACATCAAAATATATGCATTTCTGTCTCCGTTTCAGCACCAATTGGTAGATTTAAAAATACTCTGACCTTGTAGATTATTTAGGGTTAGGAAAGTATTTATGAATTATAAAAAACAGGTTTAGAGAGCCTTTACGCACTAAATATATTGCTGAATAAAAAATACAGTGCTTTGATTGATCCTGAAAGCTGCCATATGTCAAGTTCAATCGATGAAATATTGGAACAGTGTTTCTGCTGCAGTCATTTAACTGTGCCGCTGTGCCACGGCACAATCATTGCCGCCATGGCCCAAAAATATGGAACATGAAAAAATATCTGTAGAGGCGCACTTTGAAGATGCTAGAACAGCCCACATTTACTTTACCTCTGTAAACAAAACGAGTAATGAATAGAAAAATCTGACAACCCCATAGTAGAATAGCTAACCTATTTACTTAGTAATTTGTTGTTGTGTGTTCTATGCAAGATAAATATTCCTTCTCGAGGCGCATTTAAGTTACGAGTGCCATAGGGAGAGAAACGTGCATTCTGACATGCGGTCAATGCACAACAATTCCTGCAATCACTGGGAAAACAGCAGTTTTAATGGCCTTTGTTAAAAAGAGGGTGATCCCAGCTTTCCATTCCTACTTTATTTATTTATCAACTCCTAAATATGTGCGAACTGCACCATTTTAAACTCAGAGTTTTTAGCATTGTCATGGTTAAGCACCAAACAGCTCTGCATAGGGGAGAGTGGGGCTATATGTAATACGGGTCAATTGTAGGGTAAGTTGGGGGTTGGAGTGACTTAAAAAATTGTGATGAGACAGATTACATTTTTAGTTGAACAAATGTAGTGGCAACCAGGGAAAGTGTTGGGGGGGAAATTGGTGACATGAAGTGGTTTCTTTGATAAGTACAGGCAGGGGGCGTGTTACCACGGGTGGCAGGTTACCCCAAGTTACCTAAACAAGTAGGCCTACATTATATTCACTGTGTTAATGCACGTTTTTTGGGACATAAAATTCATCATTAGGATGCTAACTAGTTAAAAGATTACATTTGGGATCTAACTAATGATTAGCCCAATAAGGTAAATGCAGATAGGCTGAATCATGGGGTTGCCTATGGTGCATCAGTTGGGCTACAGGTGATAATGCTCATTGCTAATAGCATAACTGATAATATGGACCATAATATGGAAAATTGCCACATTCAGTTCTTGAACTCATGGTAATGTTGGAAGATTAGTGTACATAGATTTATAATAGGGAGAATAGCATACAATAGTAGGCAACATCCTCGTCTATTTCCTGCACTAACCATGGAACGGTTTGATGACACGGCCAATTAATTATTGCGCCATGCGTCGGGTTCAAACTGTTACGGCTTGGTCTGCGCTCCGCTACATAACGATTTAATCACCCTCAATGTTTTTAAACTAATGATCCTCATCAACAATCACACGGCCGTGACGGCGTTTACTGAGGAAGTAAATGAAAGTAAACGAAACAACATGTAATTAAATGGAATGATAATGTAGGCTATACCAACTGAAGGGAACTAACAGTAAATTGGCAGTTGAATATGTGTGGGTATTAGGCCTATTGACGGTCCCTATGGAATGCTTGACACCTTGTAGAGTCCATGCCCCGACGAATTGAGGCTGTTCTGAGGGAAAAAGGGGTATTTTACTCAGTGTAAATGAAAGTGCATGGAGAATGGTGTTTTTTCTATCTTCAAAAAATGTTTTTTCCACTTGGAACCGGTAGGTTCACTAGACTTTATTAATGGTTTCCTCGCGTGTAAAGGTGGTGGAATTAAGTCAAGGTCAGAATATGGTGTATCTGTAGACACACCTCCACCACACCTTCATTTATTCGATCTCCACCCCAAACGAATAGCTGGTGAATAACATGCTCTTCTTATGCTTAAGTTCCAGGTCAGAATACACAGAGAAAAGTGCATAGAAAGGGAATTACGTTCCATTTACGTGCGCTTAACTCGGGTCGGAATTCCACCCCCATAGTGAAAAGCCTACAAGGGCATACATTTTAATATTGTAGTGGACAAAGATGAGAAGAATGTTGGCGCGGCCATATGCAGGCTACTGTGCAACTCGCTATTCAGGTAGGAAGCAATTTACTTATTTCTTATTTCATATTTATAATCAATATTATCATTATTATTGTGTATCATTGTTATTATTGTAGGCCTATTTATTAATCTAAACCAGCTCCTTAAATATGCTAAATGTGTTTTGTTTCATTCTGTTGAGACATTTTGGTTGGCTAAATTAAGTTTGATCTGTCTTTATAATTGTGTGCCCAATATTTAGTTTAAGATAGGTTATAAGTAGGCCTGTTGTAAAATAAATATTATATATATATCCTTTTGTACACCTATATCTGTATAGCAGATGCAGTAGCCTATCTGGCAAGGACAATGATCCAACACACCTCCAGGCTGTGTAAGGGCTATTTTACCAAGATAGAGAGTGATGGAGTGCTGCATCAGATGACCTGGCCTCCACAATCCCCCGACCTCAACCCAAGTGGGATGGTTTGGAATGAGTCGGACAGAAGAGTGAAGGAAAAGCAGCCAACAAGTGCTCAGCATATGTGGGATCTCCTTCAAGACTGTTGGAGAAGCATTCCAGGTGAAGCTGGTTGAGAGAATGCCAAGAGTGTGCAAAGCTGTCATCAAGGCAAAGGGTGGCTATTTGAAGAATCTCAAATATATTTTGATTTGTTTAATACTTTTTTGGTTACTACATGATTCCATATGCGTTATTTCATAGTTTTGATGTCTTCACTATAATTCTACAATGTAGAAAATAGTAAAAATAAAGAAAAACCCTTGAATGAGTAGGTGTGTCCAAACTTTTGACTGGTACTGTATATTCTCTTTATATTAATATCATACAGTGGACACCTAAGCCTATAGGCATATGCATGCAATGCCCTGATGCATTTATCGCTCAAATCTCCGGCAGCTGAACCGTGATGTGGACAACTATTGTTTTAGGAAAGTAAAAACCAATAAAACAGGCTAAAGTTTTGCATATGCTACACATCGAAAACAAGGAATATTGTTTTTATCATAGGCAGTTTTTTAGGACATGTAAAAATGGCTAATTTGGCCAATATTCCTTGTTTATTGATGGCGATGGCTGCGTGGGTGAACGCCCTAATGGGTTACACACCCAATGCACCCTGTTTGATAGGCATGTGTACGTTCTAGTCTAGGTGGTGGACACACCATTCGCAGGGCTGTATTGTTCTGAAGGAATTCAGAGCTGCATCCATCCCAGCAAAGTCCCAGAAGCGCACGTCAAAGTCGTATCCCCCGGTGACCAGACGGGCTCCAGAGGGGTCCAATGCCAAGGCCGACACCTGAGGAGGGAGGGAGCAAACAGAGGTTACTTCACCTGCCAGGGAAAAAATACACACTTAACTAACACCTAGTTGCTGCTAAGCTAACAGCACACCTCCTTACCAGCCAGCTTAGTGCACATGGGACACAATCGAACGATGCTAGTCAGCCTGCACAGCCGGCCCATCGAAACTACACCTAAACTTCACCTAAACTAATTTCACACATAATAAGACTTAGCCTATAGACAGGATTACATGTATTTATGCAACTGATCCTTTACAATTGTTCATGCACTTGTGCTTTTGTTTAGGAATACAGCAAATAATTTCACCTGTGCACCCGGCTGGTTAAATTATATTTTTCGTTTCTACTTCGTCAAAAGAAGCTGTGACTGGACTTTATTAATTACTCTATTACTAATCAAATCTACAAATAAAGTTGATCAAATGGATTATACTGTAATGTTTTTATTGGAAGGGACACAAAATAAGGCTATAGGCCTATGTTTTTTCTAGGACATTGTAGAATTATACAAAACATATCCTTGACTCTAAACAAATGACTATTGTGTGTTTTTTATTTTTTTATTGCTATATTTCCACAAATATTTCTTCATGAAATTAATCATTTATAATAGTTGTTAATGTTATAATAGTATATATATAAAATATACACTGCTCAAAAAAATAAAGGGAACACTTAAACAACACAATGTAACTCCAAGTCAATCACACTTCTGTGAAATCAAACTGTCCACTTAGGAAGCAACACTGATTGACAATACATTTCACATGCTGTTGTGCAAATGGAATAGACAACAGGTGGAAATTATAGGCAATTAGCAAGACACCCCCAATAAAGGACTGGTTTTGCAGGTGGTGACCACAGACCACTTCTCAGTTCCTATGCTTCCTGGCTGATGTTTTGGTCACTTTTGAATGCTGGCGGTGCTTTCACTCTAGTGGTAGCATGAGACGGAGTCTACAACCCACACAAGTGGCTCAGGTAGTGCAGCTCATCCAGGATGGCACATCAATGCGAGCTGTGGCAAGAAGGTTTGCTGTGTCTGTCAGCGTAGTGTCCAGAGCATGGAGGCGCTACCAGGAGACAGGCCAGTACATCAGGAGACGTGGAGGAGGCCGTAGGAGGGCAACAACCCAGCAGCAGGACTGCTACCTCCGCCTTTGTGCAAGGAGGAGCAGGAGGAGCACTGCCAGAGCCCTGCAAAATGACCTCCAGCAGGCCACAAATGTGCATGTGTCTGCTCAAACGGTCAGAAACAGACTCCATGAGGGTGGTATGAGGGCCAGTCGTCCACAGGTGGGGGTTGTGCTTACAGCCCAACACCGTGTAGGACGTTTGGCATTTGCCAGAGAACACCAAGATTGGCAAATTCGCCACTGGCGCCCTGTGTTCTTCACAGATGAAAGCAGGTTCACACTGAGCACATGTGACAGACGTGACAGAGTCTGGAGATACCATGGAGAACGTTCTGCTGCCTGCAACATCCTCCAGCATGACCGGTTTGGCGGTGGGTCAGTCATGGTGTGGGGTGGCATTTCTTTGGGGGGCCGCACAGCCCTCCATGTGCTCGCCAGAGGTAGCCTGACTGCCATTAGGTACCGAGATGAGATCCTCAGACACCTTGTGAGACCATATGCTGGTGCGGTTGGCCCTGGGTTCCTCCTAATGCAAGACAATGCTAGACCTCATGTGGCTGGAGTGTGTCAGCAATTCCTGCAAGAGGAAGGCATTGATGCTATGGACTGGCCCACCCGTTCCCCAGACCTGAATCCAATTGAGCACATCTGGGACATCATGTCTCGCTCCATCCACCAACGCCACGTTGCACCACAGACTGTCCAGGAGTTGGCGGATGCTTTAGTCCAGGTCTGGGAGGAGATCCCTCAGGAGACCATCCGCCACCTCATCAGGAGCATGCCCAGGCGTTGTAGGGAGGTCATACAGGCACGTGGAGGCCACACACACTACTGAGCCTCATTTTGACTTGTTTTAAGGACATTACATCAAAGTTGGATCAGCCTGTAGTGTGGTTTTCCACTTTAATTTTGAGGGTGACTCCAAATCCAGACCTCCATGGGTTGATACATTTGATTTCCATTGATCATTTTTGTGTGATTTTGTTGTCAGCACATTCAACTATGTAAAGAAAAAAGTATTTAATAAGATTATTTCATTCATTCAGATCTAGGATGTGTTATTTTAGTGTTCCCTTTATTTTTTTGAGCAGTGTATATATATGGGGGATTGGAAATGATGCAAACAATTACAATGATGGAAGCCACAATCTATTTGCAATATTAAAGCTGATCTACGCCGTAATAGTTTATGCACTATTTATCAAGTGTTGGTGCTCATGTTTGCTGCACCTTGCAGGTTGATATGCATCTGATGCATATGCTAAAGGAGACGCCCGGTAATGTTCTCTAGCGGGTACCAGGCAGTTCTAGTGTTAATGAGTCCTAGGAGGGAAATATGCTAATTAATTGGTGCTATATTTAAACGTGCTCATGAGTGCAGTGAGTAACAATGCGCAGTTTGGAATCCATGTTGGAAAGGTTCTATAAAATCGCAGTTAATAAATATAGATGGGGGTTATAGAGAGGAAAGTTGGAAAATACTTACTGTTTTGGAGCCATGCTGCAGAGTAATCTCATGAGTGTCTGGAATCTTCTTCACTGGATTCTGAGAGAGTGAGAGGGACAGGAAGTTGCCTGTCATACATGTGTGGTTGTGGTTGAAGGTGGAGTGGGCTGCCTGGCACTCTGTCATACACAATATTTCAGCTTTAATGGGCTGTGTGATATGTTACAGGCTGGTTACAGCAGGGTCCACTAGCTACACCTACACCCAATGGGAGGGCTGCGTTTGGCCAGAGGGCCATGTTATTACCAGAGGCTGACCTGTCACAAGCCACCATCCATCACATAGTCCCACGGCAGCCTCAAATCACACCTGCCCTGAGAACACTGGGTGTCTGGCCTATATCACCCATAACATACACACAGCGAAGAGACATTTACTACTCAGAGAGAGAGAGAGGGGGAGATGAGAGAGAACACTTTTTTAAGGAGAAAACCATCTGTCTTTGTGCGGCCCATTTCGGTGGCCTACATACTTTAAAATGATGGCTTTTTATTATGGTTTATCAGGAGGTGGTGTGAGAAAGCCAACTCTTGCTTTCCCAAGCAGTACACCTAGATTGCACTGGGTTGACTCACAAGTCATTATTGTGTAAAATGGAATGATAAAGCAAGTCTCAGGAAATGCTAAGACTGTGATGGCCTCCAGTGGTATAACATAGTAAGAACACACCACGTAAATAAATATGTGGCTTCAGGACTGTAAAGAAATATCAGTGTTGCAGACTGAAATGTATAAAGATCATCATTACGAACAAATTTTGCCTGCTTATGTAAATTGTTTATTGTTGCAGACAGAAATGTATGTACTTATGTAAAGGTTTAGCATCAGTATGGGAGCAGATGTTTTTAGCCTCATGCAAATCTACTGTAAAATGTTTCCTTGTGTCATAAGTGGAAACACTTACATCATCTTCATCATCCTGCATATCCTCATCATCATCATCTTCATCGTCTGCTGTGCTTCCTCTATACCCTGGTGGTAGTGGTGGCCCCACTAAGTCCTCATCATCCTCCTGACCAGTCAGCTGTTTGGGCACTGGGGGTCCAATGAGCTCTGAGTCGGAGTCTGACTCTGAGTCACTGCTGCCGCTGCCACTACTGCTCTCCTCCTTCTTCCTGTTGGGTAGTATGTAATAGAGACCCATGGGTTTCAATAATCTAGCCAATCCCGCATACTTGTAATAATAACACTAAATTCCAATGCATTATTTTGAATTACCCTCCCACACAGTTATTTTAACTCGGAGCATGTGAAAGTAATTGGTCAGTTAGAATGGATGGGATTGTGTGTGTTACCTGGGTGCAGGGGCGGGGGCTCGGTCTCTCTGTTTGGAGCTTGATGCCTTGGCTGTATGGGAGCTCTCCCCAGTTTCCTCTTTCTGCCTCTCCTCTGAAGGAGACACAGCTGAGGTTAGACACTTAAAACACATACACACTAAGACTGAGTTAAAGGGCACGTAGCTATTTGTCACTAACCTAATACTTGTTGACTCCTCTCTATTGCTGTTCTTCGGGTCTGCTCAAAGATGGCATCCAGGTCAAAAGTGCGGGCTTTCTTTCCTGGAGTGAAGAGAGGAAGGCTTGTATGAAAATGCTGTACTCACCTATTAAAACACATTTATGGTGAATCTATGTTGTTGATATCAGGTTGATATGAAGGCCAATGGAAGTAACACTTACCAAAGCCAGAGAATCCCATGACAGAGGCCATATCTCCATCACTCTGGTCTGACGCTAAAAGACAGGAGGAGTCATTCACACTAGCTGCATCATTCATTCACGACTTTCTCGCAACATGAAATAACTACAATTGTCAATACTTAATGTTACCATTGTCACACCAAGAACTAACTAAAAACCAAACAGGCTGTTTGTATATCATTTACTGATAGTGATAGACTGACTACACTCCAGAGTGGCTATTGTATTTCACTAGCTAGCTCACATATGTGCTCAACCACGCCCACACCTATGTACATATTATGCACAAACACATACACTCACACAAACTCCCAGCACGACTTTATTACTATTGCACAATTTAAACACTTTGCTCCCCATATCCCTCATCCCTGACACACATGTAAATATTGTATTTGTTTGAGTGCCTTTGTATTATATATTTTCCCCCATTGAGTTTCTATTTGATCATTATTGCTTTTTTTCTATTATACTGTTGTCGCATTGTTGAGGTGAACCTGCAAGTAAGCATTTCATTGTACTGCGTCTGTGTACATGACCATGTGTATTCTGTATATATGACAAATACATTTGACTAGCTAGCGATTTACTAATGCCGCGTGCTGTAGATCACAAGCTGCACGAGGACACAAACTTTTGTTAGGTTGAGCTACTTTGCAGTTGGACACGTTTAATTCAAAAAATATTACTCATTGAAAGAATAGTCGTAGCCATAGATGCTGTAGTAGCTAAAGTCAGCTATCTAGCTACCAAACAAGCTAGCTAGCAGCAACAATAGGATATCTCTCACTTCCATTACATTTAATAATCATGCATGCTGGGACATTGTACCCTGCAACCATTTATTTAGTGAATTATAATCTTGACTCCCAAAAAACAGCTAATAACGTAACATTTACCGTTGCCCGTTTTGTTGGGATCCATGTTTTGTTTTAAAGTTTACTTGAACTGTGATCCGGAAGCTGCTTCAATATTTCAACAAAGGCGCCAAAACCACTGTCATCTAGTGGTCATTTTTAGCTACTGATAATATTGCCGCTTCCAGTCATTTACCATTATTTTGTGCAGATTCTGTATCTTCCAAAAAAAGAGGCACTCTTACCCTTTCTAGTATTATAAAACAGTCTTTATAAAAAATATTGCTAAAACATGTTGAGCTATGCCACAAAGCAAAGACTACATTCAAACACTATTTCATTTTTTCCTGAGTGGAAATCAACATTAGCTGATCATATAAATTCACACAAAAATAAATAAATATACAGGTATTTAAGACTAAACAAAAATGTAATATACATACACTGGATCTCCAAAAATAGACATGACAAACTCATTCAATACACTACAAAGATATGGCATGAGTACCAATAATATGATGATGCCGATTATCTGGTACAAGCTGGAACCAAGAGGAGACACGACATGACACACAGTACCGACTGCCCTCTACAGGCTCCCGTGAACAGTTGAGACGCTTTCAAGTAATATAACAGCATATAGGCACATAAATGGTTTTAATGTGTTGTGATCCTTCACTTGTGACCCTGTGCCCCTCTTGTCCCTCGAGATAGTCAGGCTCGTCCCTGCATTCCGAGGGGGATGCTCTAAGTCAATCAGATGGCCCCTTCCGCGGCCACAATGCTTTCAATGGCAGCCCAGTCCAGTTGGCTGAGGATGCTGCCAGTGCTCTCTGACAGGGTGTCCAGTATGTCCAGCCCTGCTCCCCCAGCTCTAGCCACTGCACCACCCTGGCCCTCTGAGTTCTCCAGCCCCAGCAACCTGCAGATCTCTGGAGGGGGGTTCCATGGGCTCACCACCTCCTCCTCCCTCTCTTCAGTCTCTCTCTGCTCCCTCGCTCCTCCACCTCTCCATCCAGGTGGGGACTGGCTCACTTCTCTTCTCCACTCTACAGGGGGAAACAGGGTAGAACTTTACTCTATATTACCTAAACATGGCTACTAAGATTACTCAACAGCTCGGCAGTGTCTCACCTTGCTGGCTGGGTGTCTTAGGCCCAGTCCTGCCCCTCAGATCTGTGATCATACCCCGCCGGGTCACCTGGGAGAGACGGTCCCGTGGCAGAAAACTCGCTAACGCCCAGGAGACAGACACACTGATCAGTCACTGCATTCTGGCCAACATCCAAAATGCTGTTGATCCCAGCTCATCATATATTACTGTAAGCCCCTATATTTTTTTTATAGCACTTAAATCAAAAGAGAATGATAGTGGACGGTGGTAACCTGGTCTATGCAGTCCCAATCTGGCACTCAGTGTCTCCTGCCCCCCTGATGACGCAGGCCGTCTTTGTGAACGTGGTGTCACCCCTGGAGAGGAGAGGGAGCGGGCTCTCCCAGTCTGGGATTTGGTACTGGTCTTCCTCTTCCCCCCAACAGACAGACTACGACCTCTGGAACGTCACAGAATGACAAGGATCATCCTCCATCCCTCTAATTTCAGTTTTAGACACATTAATTGAAATAGAATTGTTCTTAAACCACCCAGATGTGAATGCCCTACGAGGTGTACCTGGGGCTGCTGCGGGTGCTGCCGACAGTCTGAGCTGTAAGGGGCCGTGTGGAGGAGGGTCGTGTGGAGGTGGGTCGTGGGGAGGTGGAGGGTAGTGTCAGGGTATAATTGGCGTTAGTGGGCAGGGTCAGTGGGGTGGTGAGGAGGTCTGTGATCAGACTATAGGCATCGCGGGCCCTCTGATTGTGGTGCTCCAGCAGTACCATCCTAACGGTCCAAATACAACATGTGAACACACATAAAAGCTTCTAATACTTAGAACACTTGCATGTATCTGCATGTATCTGTATGTATGTATGTATGTATGTATGTATGTATGTATGTATGCATGTATGTACAGTGAGGGAAAAAAGTATTTGATCCCCTGCTGATTTTGTACGTTTGCCCACTGACAAAGACATGATCAGTCTATAATTTTAATGGTAGGTTTATTTGAACAGTGAGAGACAGAATAACAACAAACAAATCCAGAAAAACGAATGTCAAAAATGTTATTAATTGATTTGCATTTTAACAAGGGAAATAAGTATTTGACCCCTGTGCAAAACATGACTTAGTACTTGGTGGCAAAACCCTTGTTGGCAATCAGAGGTCAGACGTTTCTTGTAGTTGGCCACCAGGTTTGCACACATCTCAGGAGGGATTTTGTCCCACTCCTCTTTGCAGATCTTCTCCACGTCATTAAGGTTAAGGTTGAGGCTGACGTTTGGATGGGTATTCCAGCATGACAATGACCCAAAACACACGGCCAAAGCAACAAAGGAGTGGCTCAAGAAGAAGCACATTAAGGTCCTGGAGTGGCCTAGCCAGTCTCCAGACTTTAATCCCAGGATCGAACGTCGATCCTTCAGCTCCCTCCACAGATTTTCTATGGGATTAAGGTCTGGAGACTGGCTAGGCCACTCCAGGACCTTAATGTGTTTCTTCTTGAGCCACTCCTTTGTTGCCTTGGCCATGTGTTTTGGGTCATTGTCATGCTGGAATACCTATCCACGACCCATTTTCAATGCCCTGGCTGAGGGAAGGAGGTTCTCACCCAAGATTTGACGGTACATGGCCCCATCCATCGTCCCTTTGATGCGGTGAAGTTGTCCTGTCCCCTTAGCAGAAAAACACCCCCAAAGCATAATGTTTCCACCTCCATGTTTGACAGTGGGGATGGTGTTCTTGGGGTCATAGGCAGCATTCCTCCTCCTCCAAAAATGGCGAGTTGAGTTGATGCCAAAGAGCTCCATTTTGGTCTCATCTGACCACAACACTTTCACCCAGTTATCCTCTGAATCATTCAGATGTTCATTGGCAAACTTCAGACGGGCCTGTATATGTGCTTTCTTGAGCAGTGTGACCTTGCGGGCGCTGCAGGATTTCAGTCCTTTACGGCGTAGTGTGTTACCAATTGTTTTCTTGGTGACTATGGTCCCAGCTGCCTTGAGATCATTGACAAGATCCTCCCGTGTAGTTCTGGGCTGATTCCTCACCGTTCTCATGATCATTGCAACTCCACGAGGTGAGATCTTGCATGGAGCCCGGGCCAGGCCGAGGGAGATTGACAGTTCTTTTGTGTTTCTTCCATTTGCGAATAATCGCACCAACTGTTGTCACCTTCTCACCAAGCTGCTTGGCGATGGTCTTGTAGCCCATTCCAGCCTTGTGTAGGTCTACAATCTTGTCCCTGACATCCTTGGAGAGCTCTTTGGTCTTGGCCATGGTGGAGAGTTTGGAATCTGATTGATTGATTGCTTCTGTGGACAGGTGTCTTTTATACAGGTAACAAGCTGAGATTAGGAGCACTCCCTTTAAGAGTGTGCTCCTAATCTCAGCTCGTTACCTGTATAAAAGACACCTGGGAGCCAGAAATCTTTCTGATTGAGAGGGGGTCAAATACTTATTTCCCTCATTAATTAATTAATTTATTTCACCTTTATTTAACCAGGTAAGCCAGTTGAGAACAAGTTCTCATTTACAACTGCGACCTGGCCAAGATAAAGCAAAGCAGTGCGATATCAACAACAACACAGAGTTACATATGGGGTAAACAAAACATAAAGTCAAAAATACAAACAGAAAATATATATACAGTGTGTGCGAATGTAGTAAGTTATGGAGGCAAGGCAATAAATAGGCCATAGTGCAAAATAGTTACAATTTCGTATTAACACTGGAATGATAGATGTGCAAAAGATGATGTGCAAATAGAGATACTGGGGTGAAAATTAGCAAAATAAATAACAATATGGGGATGAGGTAGTTGGTTGGGCTAATTTCAGAATGGCTGTGTACAGGTGCAGTGATCGGTAAGCTGCTCTGACAACTGACGCTTAAAGTTAGTGAGGGAGATAAGAGTCTCCAGCTTCAGAGATTTTTGCAGTTCGTTCCAGTCATTGGCAGCAGAGAACTGGAAGGAATGGCGGCCAAAGGAGGTGTTGGCTTTGGGGATGACCAGTGAGATATACCTGCTGGAGCGCAGACTAGTGTGGGTGTTGCTATGGTGACCAGTGAGCTAAGGTAAGACAGGGATTTGCCTAGCAGTGATTTATAGATGACCTGGAGCAAGTGGGTTTGGCGACGAATATGTAGTGAGGGCCAGCCAACAAGAGCGTACAGGTCACAATGGTGGGTAGTATATGGGGCTTTGGTGACAAAACGGATGGCACTGTGATAGACTACATCCAATTTGCTGAGTAGAGTGTTGGAGGCTATTTTGTAAATGACATCGCCGAAGTCAAGAATCGGTAGGATAGTCCGTTTTACGAGGGAATGTTTGGCAGCATGAGTTTGGCAGCATTCAAATGCAAATCAATTTATAACATTTTTGACATGCGTTTTTCTGGATTTTTTTTATTTATTCCGTCTCTCACTGTTCAAATAAACCTACCATTAAAATTATAGACTGATCATGTCTTTGTCAGTAGGCAAACGTACAAAATCAGCAGGGGATCAAATACTTTTTTCCTCACTGTATGCGTGTATGTATGTATGTATGTACACTACAAGTCAGAAGTCTGGACACACCTATTCATTCAAGGGTTTTTCTTTATTTTTTACTATTTTCTACATTGTAGAATAATAGTGAAGACATCAAAACTATGAAATAACACATATGGAATCATGTTGTAACCAAAAAAGTGTTAAACAAATAAGAATATATTTTATATTCTTCAAATAGCTAACCTTTGCCTTGATGACAGCTTTGCACACTCTTGGCATTCTCTCAACCAGCTTCATGAGGTAGTCACCTGGAATGAATTTCAATTAACAGGTGTGCCTACTTAAAAGTTAATTTGTGGAATTTCTTTCCTTCTTAAAGCGTCGGAGCCAATCTGTTGTGTTGTGACAAGGTAGGGGTGATATACAGAAGATAGCCCTATTTGGTAAAAGACCAAGTTCATATTATGTCAAGAATAGCTCAAATAAGCAAAGAGAAACGACAGTCCAGCATTACTTTAAGACATGAAGGTCAGTCAATATGGAACATTTCAAGAACTTTGAAAGTTTTTTCAAGTGCAGTCGCAAAAACCATCAAGCGCTATGATGAAACTGGCTCTCATGAGGGCCACCACAGGAATGGAAGACCCAGAGTTTCCTCTGCTGCAGAGGATAAGTTCATTAGAGAGTTACCAGCCTCTTTGCAGCCCAAATAAATGCTTCACAGAGTTCAAGTAACAGACACATCTCAACATCAACTGTTCAGAGGGGACTGTGTGAATCAGGCCTTCATGGTCAAATTGCTGCAAAGAAACCACTACTAATGGACACCAATAAGAAGAAGAGACCTACTTGGGCCAAGAAACACGAGCAATGGACATTAGAGCGGTGGAAATGTGTCCTTTGGACTGGAGTCCAAATTTGAGATTTTTGGTTCCAACCGGCGTGTCTTTGTAAGACGTGGTGTGGGTGAACGGATTATCTCTGCATGTGTAGTTCTCACCGTAAAGCATGGAGGAGGAGGTGTTATTGTGTGGGGGTGCTTTGCTGGTGACACTGTCTGTGATTTATTTAGAATTCAAGGCACACTTAACCAGCATGGCTTCCACAGCATTCTGCAGCGATACGCCATCCCATCTGGATTGGTCTTAGTTGGACTATCATTTGTTTTTCAATAGGACAATGACCCAACACACCTCCAGGCTGTGTAGGGGCTATTTTACCAAGGAGAGTGATGGAGTGCTGCATCAGATGACCTGGCCTCCACAATCCCCCGACCACAACCCAATTGAGATGGTTTGGGATGAGTCGGACGGCAGAGTGAAGGAAAAGCAGCCAACAAGTGCTCAGCATATGTGGAAACTCCTTCAAGACTGTTGTAAAAGCTTTCCAGGTGAAGCTGATTGATAGAATGCCAAGAGTGTGCAAAGCTGTCATCAAGGCAAAGGGTGGCTATTTGAAGAATCTCAAATATAAAATATATACTGATTTGTTTAACACTTTTTGGTTACTACATGATTCCATATGTGTTATTTCATAGTTTTGATGTCTTCACTATTATTCTAAAATGTAAAAAAATTTTAAAAACAAAGAAAAACCCTTGAATGAGTAGGTGTGTCCAAACTTTTGACTGGTACTGTATGTATGTGTATGTATGTACAGTTCAAGTCGGAAGTTTACATACACTTAGGTTGGAGTCATTAAAACTCGTTTTTCAACCACTCCACAAATGTCTTGTTAACAAACTATAGTTTTTGCAAGTCGGTTAGAACATCTACTTTGTGCATGACAAAAGTAATTTTTCCAACAATTGTTTACAGACAGATTATTTTACTTATAATTCACTGTATCACAATTCCAGTGGGTCAGAAGTTTACATACACTAAGTTGACTGTGCCTTTAAACAGCTTGGAAATTTCCAGAAAATGATGTCATGGCTTTAGAAGCTTCTGATAGGCTAATTGACATAATTTGAGTCAATTGGAGGTGTACCTGTGGATGTATTTCAAGGCCTACCTTCAAACTCAGTGCCTCTTTGCTTGACATCATGGGAAAATCAAAAGAAATCAGCCAAGACCTCAGAACAAAAATGGTACACCTCTGGTTCATCCTTGGGAGCAATTTCCAAATGCCTGAAGGTACCACGTTCATCTGTACAAACAATAGTACGCAAATATAAACACCATGGGACCATGCAGCCGTCATACCGCTCAGGAAGGAGATACATTCTGTCTCCTAGAGATGAACGTACTTTGGTGCGTAACGTGCAAATCAATCCCAGAACAACAGCAAAGGACCTTGTGAAGATGCTGGAGGAAACAGGTACAAAAGTATCTATATCCACAGTAAAACGAGTCCTATATCACCATAACCTGAAAGGCCGCTCAGAAAGGAAGAAGCCACTGCTCCAAAACCGCCATAAAAAAGCCAGACTACGGTTTGCAACTGCACATGGGGACAAAGACCATACTTTTTGGAGAAATGTCCTCTGTTCTGATGAAACAAAAATAGAACTGTTTGGCCGTAATGACCATCGTTATGTTTGGAGGAAAAAGGGTACCGCTTGCAAGCTGAAGAACACCATCCCAACCGTGAAGCACGGGGGTGGCAGCATCATGCTGTGGGGGTGCTTTGCTGCAGGCGGGTCTGGTGCACTTCACAAAATAGATGGCATCATGAGGAAAGAAAATTATGTGGATATATTGAAGCGACATCTCAAGACTTCCAAAGTTGTGGCAATATGGCTTAAGGACAACAAAGTCAAGGTATTGGAGTGGCCATCACAAAGCCCTGACCTCAATCCTATAGAAAATTTGTGGGCAGAACTGAAAAAGCGTGTGCGAGCAAGGAGGCCGACAAACCTGACTCAGTTACACCAGCTCTGTCAGGAGGAATGGGCCAAAATTCACCCAACTTATTGTGGGAAGCTTGTGGAAGGCTACCCGAAACGTTTGACCCAAGTTAAACAATTTAAAGGCAATGCTGCCAAATACTAATTGAGTGTATGTAAACTTCTGACCCACTGGGAATGTGATGAAAGAAATAAAAGCTGAAATAAATCATTCTCTCTACTATTATTCTGACATTTCACATTCTTAAAATAAAGTAGTGATCCTAACTGACCTAAGACAGGGAATAAAAAAAAAAACTGAGTTTAAATGTATTTGGCTAAGGTGTATGTAAACTTCCGACTTCAACTGTATGTATGTATTTATGTTGTATGTGTGTGTGTTCGTGCACATACTTGTCTTTCTCTTCCTTGATTTTCTTATTGATGTTTATATCTTTGGAAGTTGGTTTCTGTCGAGAGAAATGGTGTCTGAATGAATGCACTAAAAAACTATCAGAACACAGAATGTAAATGTGAGTCAGAAGCCAATCTCACCACTGTGACAGGGGCCGAGAAGGGTTTTCGTTCCCTCTCCCTCTTCTCCTCCCTCTGTCTGCGGTACTCGACCAGTTTCTCCCTCTGTTTCCTTCTCATCCAAACCCTCAGCTCTCGCCTCTCCTCCTCCGCTCGCATCCCCCTCTGTCCCGCCCTGCCGCTCTGTTGCTGGTCCAGCCTGCTGTCAATCACAAACACATCACTGCTGAGAGCCAGTCACAGTGCTCGAGATTGTCACAACCAGAAGAGGAGCAGGTTTAGAGCTGTTCACTGTGAAGGTTCCTACCTGTTGAGGCGGGCAGCTTGTGTATGGGACAGCCCCAGGGCCGTGGGGGAGATGCCTCCCTCCCTCACCAACTCCGCCAAGATGTCTGCCACATCACTCAGCCCACTGAGACCCAGAGTCTCCTCTGCCCATCTGAGGATGACAGGAAAGACAGGAGGAGAATAATATGTGACAGTTCAAACCACAATCACATCTAAGGAATAATGCTCACACAGAGGGTAACTAACAGTGATCATTTAACATTTTCCTAAATAAATTACCGATATCAGTTTTCACACACTTACTTTCCAGGTGCTCCATCCATATTGTCTGTCAAATCTGCAAGAGGAACACAATCAACATACAGCTTACTAAATACAGATCTGAATGCTGCTGCAAGGGGGTGAGTTGTACAGCTGCCCAGTGTCTCTTCAAGTAACTCGACCTGAAACACAAACTAGCACAAACCAGAGACATGCAAGTACCAGGTGTACCATTACAAGGTGAGAGTGCCTGTATGTGTGATGTAGCGGGTGTCCACTGGCAGTCTCTATCGGTGTGTATGCAGAGTTAGGTAACAGCACTGAGTCCCAGCCAGGTGTGTGTGACAGTGTGTGTTGAGACGGCTCTTACCTTGACTGATGTCCCACACACGCTGCTCTGGTTCTGGTCTGACGGGAGACAACTGCAGGCCTGCAACCACAGACAGAGATCACATTCAACCCCAGGCAGATGCCATTCTACCCCAGACAGATGCCATTCTACCCCAGACAGATGCCATTCTACCCCAGACAGATCCCATTCAACCACTCAGACTACACATAAATCCCCAGTTGATATACTGTACACCTCAGGTCAGACAGCCTGGTTAGAGGCACAAAGCAGGGATGTATGGTGCTGGGGCAGACATACACTAAAGTTACAGCTGTGGTGAGCCTGAAACAGGAGTATCAGATGGTAGCCTGGTAATTGGAAACGTCACACCACACCACCTGCCGAACCACTAGGGACTTATAAGAACTACAATTACGCCTCCCGAGTGGCGCAGCGGTCTAAGGCACTGCATCGCAGTGCTTGAGACGTCACTACAGACCCGGGTTCGATTTTAGGCTGTGTCACAGCTGGCCGTGACCGGGGGACCCATGAGGCGGCCCAGTGTCGTCTGGGTTAGGGGATCGTTTGGCCTGCCGGGATTTCCTTGTCCCATTGCGCTCTATCGACTCCTGACTTCGGTCGCCAGCTGGACGGTGTTTCCTCCGACACATTGGTGTGGCTGGCTTCCGAGTTAAGCGAGCAGTGTGTCAAGAAGCAGTGCAGTTTGGCAGGGTCGTGTTTCGGAGGATGCATTGCTCTCGACCTTCGCCTCTCCCGAGTCCGTACAGGAGTTGCAGCGATGGGACAAGACTGTAACTACCAATTGGATATCACGAAATTGGGGAGAAAAAGGTGTAAAAGTACAATATATATATATATATATATATATATATATATATATATATATATATATATATATATATATATATATATATATATATATATATATATATATATAAGAACTACAATTACACTGACACCATCATGGTTCACCATTATCCAATCACTAGGGAGATATTTCCATTGGATCCAATGGCCAATAATGTATCAACAATGCCATGACAGGTTAGCTAATAGCTATATGTTAAGAATGGTTTACGAGCACAACTATATTCCCACAGTTTGAACGCTTGCTTGGGAGTGCTGCTATACCTGTGGGCGGGTGCAGGGTAGAGGTGCTCTGGACGGCAGGAGAAAGAGAGAAGGGCTGTTTCACACCCCAAGGAGCAGAGCTGACTATTACACTATCACGTCCTTCCTCCTCTTCCTGTTGACGACCCGCTAGCTCAGTGTCATGGTGCACGGAGAGACGTGATCTCCACCCTGGTCAAATGGAGAGGACACACATAAACAGAGTCAGGGGGATATGGGGGGATATGGCAGATTTGGTGTTGTCTGGTGTAAAGAGGTTTGATCTGGTGTCGAGTGTTTTAAGCCTGTTGCATGCTTCCAAGTCGTAACAGTTTGCGCATATATTATGGTAAAGTTTTTGTTTGTTTTGGAGTTCGGCAGGTTTTTTTTCCAGCTGTTTGAACACACAACATTTTATTTTTAGGCAAGTCGAAGTTCGGTAGCTGAAGTCTACGCCCCTTCTTCTGTGATTGGTCAAAAGTACTACTCCGAGTAGGAGTGAGAACTATGGACGGCGCTCTTCAATGAAGTGTTTGTTGAAATTCCAAGAGATGCAACTAGTTTTCATGCACATTTTTTAAAGGAGTATGCAAGCACAGGCGTTCGCGTCGCCTAGCCGAGTTCTGCTAGGAGCAAACCGAACCTATGTATGTGGACGCCTTTACTGTGGATCTGACCTTCTGGTGAGACGGCCAGAGTGACTGTCTTGTTCAGTGGTGTTCTTCCCTCCACCATTTCAGGAGCCAATGGCAGGACCAAGAGTCTCAATGGTTCTCACCAGCTAAGAGAGGGGCACAGAAATACTTCTTATTACACACATGGATCAGCACACACATTGACTTGCCAATTATCAGCCAGACAAGTGGACACAGGCAGGTTGAGGAGTATAAATGTAAATCACAAAGCTACGTTACCAGTCTGGTATTGGCAAACTCTCTCTCCATGTGATCTGCGATGTTCTGTAAGGCAGCTAGCTGGGCGTCTATCTCAGACAGACGGGCAGACACCTGGATCACTGGGGCCCTGGATGGAGCTCCGCGATGGGTCCCTGGACTCCTGGTCTCCAGGGCCCGGCCTGGGGCTCTCCTCTCCTGCAGCAGACTGCGAGTCACTGGGTCTCCATTGGGCTCAGGGTGAGCAGGTGGAAGGGATGCTACAGAGAAGCCTGGAGGAGACAGAGGAGATATTACAGACAGAGACAATATATGGAGTACAACTCTAATGTTGTTTTAGCAGAGTGAATAGATTATATTGACTCAGACCACGTGGCTGAGCTTGGGGTTGGTCATCCTCTGTGCTGGTGTCTGCAGTGAGTTCCGGAGGGGCTGAGTTGGTAACGGAGGCTGCCAGCAGGTGGAGCTGTGCCGAGGTGGGGGGAGAGGGCTGAGAGGGGGTGACGTCCTGGTCCCACACCGCAGGGCGGGGGCACGATGGCAACTCCTGTAGCAAGGCCCCATCCTCCAGATCTATCACATTTATGAACTGACGACCCTGTGCATCCAGAGAGATAGGGAGAGAGAGAGAGACAGATAAGACAATTAAGTAGCATGAAACAGGATAAATTATCTGTACTGGTGTACTGAACATTCCATTCGATTTTGTCATTAAATAGTCATCTCACAGTGTTTCTCTCTGCTTGTGTCTCCCCTGGTGTCTCTATGTCCTGGACAGGAGGGTCTCTAGGGAACCACCGATTCAGGAACAATTCAGGAGGGAGAGCAGCAGGTCCAGAAGCAGCAGAAGTGACAGCAGGTTGGGCAGAAATGCCTTTATCTGAGTGAGGAGAAGCTGGGTCTGTGTTGGTGCAGGCATCGTGGCTCTCAGGAGGTCTCTTGTGTGTGGAGGCAAAGGCATGGAGCTCAGCTGTAGTAGACAGAGCCCTGTCCACCAATCGCTGACCAGTCAGCATGGAGTCAAAGGTCCCAAGAGGAAAGACATAGCCCTCCCCAAGAACAGGCTCTGCAGGCTCGTCCTCATTGCTCTCTTGCGGGGGTATGATGGAATCCTCTAGTCTAAATGTGACCTCTGCTTTCTCTCCCTCTCTCCTCAACCTCTCCACTCTTCTCTTCTGCCTCTTGCTGGAGTTGGTGCTGGTGGAGGGTGTTGCAGGGGCAGGGGTAGGGTTCTGTGTCTGTGGGTCCACTCTGAGGAGTTGGAGTCTGGGATCTGCCCCCCTCTCTCTCCCTGCAGCCCAGCCCATCAGCTCCCCCAGAGGGATGAGACGTGGCACAGGGGCCGGAGGGTTGGCTTCGGGCAGCATCATCCTAGGAGGGTCTGGGTCTCTCTGTAGTAGCTGTAGTCCGGGGTTGTGGCCCTTGGCTGCTGGGGTGACAGTCAGGGGTCTGGAGGAGTATGGGAGGGGTATGAGAGGGAAGGTGGTGTGGGGGCGTGGGTCAGGGTGGAAGCGGAGGAGGGGGAGGCCTTGGACAGGGGGAGGTCTGTGGGATGGGAGGGTAGGAGGGAGGTGAGGGGGCTCAGCTCCTCTGGACCTCTCCACCCTGGCCTCTGGATTCTGGCGCTGGGGCAGTGTGCTCCTCGGGACCTGGTCAGGGAGATAGTGGGCATACTGTGTCAGATTGAGGTGTGATGGTGGAGCGGTGGACTCGCTCTCTGCCTCCCTCCTTCTCTCCTCTGCCCTCCTCAGAGCGGCTGGGTCATACTGGCTGGGGTTCAGGTGGGGGGGCACAGTAGTGCTGGGTCTCCTCTCAGACGGGGGTCCCCAGGCCTCACGTACAGGGGCCGTGTTGCCATGACGCTGGAGGGACAGCAGGGGAGGGTGCAGCTGAAGCAGCTTCAGTCCTGAGCTGTAGGGAGCAGGGTCCTGTGAGCTACCACCAGAGGGCAGTAGCAGAGGGGCACTGCGGGTGGGGTCTACAGGGGTCTGAAGCCCATGAGAGGATGTCCTGGTCTCCCCCTGGATATCTCTCAATGGCTCAGGGTGGACGGCCAATGGCTGCATTTCCTGGATGGGGGGTTGGTCTGTGGGTCTGTCTCTCCGAGACAGGGGCTCCGAGGCTAGGGTGGCCTGAACAGAGTTTTGGGGAACTGGCTGCTCTGCAGGTACTGGAAAACCAGCCTGGGTCTGGGGCATAGGGGACATGTTGTTCTGGGAGAGGATCAGATTCGGGTGAGAGAGGAGTGTGTTAGGGTGGGACAGGGGTGCATTGGGGTTTGGATAGGGCACGTTGGACTGGGCCAGGAGTGTGTTGTTCTGTGAGAGTGGGAGGTTGACAAACGAAGCTCCAACCACCTGCATCAGACTCATGAAGTTGATCTGCTGCAACTGAAGAGAGAAACACAAAACAATCATGAAATAGTCGTTGGCTACATACATACATTTATGTATTTTCCTCTGCCTGATGTTGATATTCACATTCACCTGGACCAGTCTGAATAGCTCATCCTGCAAGAGTTGTCTGACAGGGTCTGTCTGGGCAGACAGGGCCTGGTTGGGAGCAGAGGCAGGGGTGGGGGTAGTATTGATGCTCCTCTGGGGCAGTCCTCCGTTAGGGGCAGAGTCTGCTGCCTGAGCCCCAGCCTGAGGCCCTGCCATGGGAAGGGGTTGGAAGCTGAATTGGGGAGGGACGTCTGATCCTGAACCCTCACTGGGAGGTCTGAGGAGGAGAAAACACACAAAGTAAATGTCACAAATACAGATTTGAAGGTTAGTAAACCAAAGTACCCCATAATGTTATAATATGGAACTAAAGGAATACAAAGCAATATACAGTGTGTTTTTGTTTGGGCTCACTTACATATTTCTTGTCACTTCTTCAGTAATATCTGATGATGGTCTTCTCAGGGAGCCATGAGACAGAAGAATCTCTGCCTCCTCCTCTCTAAAACACACAGGAACATTCATGTAAACATAAACATTATGTGAAATAACAATTCCAAAGAGACATAAAACAAGCCCTCTAGTAACTGGCTGCGTTGGTTAAAATCCACAGTGTCTGTCACATAGACATAGAATGAATAGAATATATGTATATGGTCTGTCATACCAAACTGTAGCTTCTGTTTACTATCACCATGGTAACGGTAGCCTACCAACTCACCTCGGCCAACCAGCCATGGCTCTGGTGTCAAATACTAAATGAGAACATGAGTATGTTCATAAAACATCAAATCAGTCACATTTTCCCTGTGTTTCCCACACCCAAAACTCACTGAGAGCTGACACTGTCCTCTTCTCTCTCTGAGCACTGCAGATCTGCTAGTGTTAATGACTGGGGACAAGAAAGAATAGACACACTTAGTGACCAGGTGCCAACCAAACACTTCATCTAGAAACACAGAGGAATGGTCATGGTGTGATTGTGATTGGCAGTGCCCACCTGGTCTTGTGGGCTCAGTGTTCGATGGAGGCTCTTGATGTGGACAGAGATGTTGGGGATGGGGAGAGAGGCTGATGACCTCAAGGCCTTGTCAGCATTGCTGTCATCTCCTTCTTTCTCAGCAGAAAGGTCAAGCTTGTGGTCTCGGAAGTCTGCCACCCCGCTCTCAGGGTTTAACGTCACTCCCTCATGGTCATAAAGGTGTGAGGTCTCTTGGGATGTCACTCGTTCCATCCCCTCAGTCTGTGACCCACTGTAGAAGAACAGAAATATATTAAAGATCCTCTCTGAGCCATAAGAAAATGCTAGAACACACACACACACACACACACACACTCACTAGGACAGTTCGCTGTGTTGGGGGTCCTGTTCTGGCAGAGTAATGGGTGTGCCAGCTGATGCAGGGTAACCTGTATCCACACTGCTCTCCCTCTCCAGCTTCCAGCCCACCTCAGGCTGCAACACTGGAGCCACTGTCCATTGCCTCTCTGGAACCTGGAGGCAGAGTGGAGAAGGAAAAAGTGAAGGAAGGAGAGAAGTGGGGGAGATAATGAGAAGAAAGGAAATCTGTTAGAGAATGTTGGTCTATGCCAAGTCTGGCGGTTCTCATCACTCATGGCACACAGTCCACGCACATCTCTATATCTGGTTAATAAATAGTTCATAAAAAAACTCTACTCACTGGTAAGTTGGCACAGTAGCGGTCCATGCCCAGCAGGGCGGCGGTGTACCTGTGCTCCAACATGCTGAGGGCCGTGAGCACCGCAGGAGCGGTGGCTTTGACCCGTATCACCACTCCACCTCCAGCTACCCCTCCTCCGCCCGCCTCCCTCTCCTTCATCCGGCTGGGGTGTCCCAGCAGCACCCTCTTATCAGCCCAGCGCACCATCCACTCCAGCAGCCTGCCCAGCCCTGGGAACTGGGCCTCCAGCTTGGGCTCCAGCTCCTGCTGTAGCTCTACAGGCTCCACGGAGCCCAGGGGCCCAAACGCCCAGCACTCTGATGGTTGCTCCCAGGGAACAGAGCTCTGACTGGGGCTAGGCTCCGAGCCGAGGCGGCCTCTTTGAGGTGTGGGTTCTGGAGCTGGGCTGGCCTGCAGACTGAAGCCAAACAACCCCTGCTGCCTGCCAGTCCTGAGCCCAGGGAGGGACAGGACACTGACAGACATGCTGGGTCTGGGTGTAGGGGGCTCACTGTGGAGAAATGAAGGTGTGGTAACGAGTACTGGTTTGTAGCAGTGTCCAGCTCTGAACACAGGGGCGTCACTGCCCCCCTGCCTCCTGGTTGCGTAGCGTCCATCTCTCTGGCGGCGGCGGAGGGTGGTGAGGACATCGAAGGTGAGGGAGTGCAGCTCTCGCTCTCTCAGCTGGCTACAGAAGCCCTTCAGCAGGGGAGGGTCACAGCCAGAGTCTGGGTCAGGGCCGTCCTTCTCCAACACGTAGCTGAAGAAGAGCTCCAGGAAACGCAGGTACTCCTCATCCTCCAGCTCAAACTCCCAGGTCCCCACCACGGGCAGGGTCAGAGAGGGGCTGTCCTCCCCCACAGCAGGGTCCTGTGCTGGGCCCGTGCAGCTCTGGCCCTCCTCCTGGATGCTCTCACCCTCCACTACTTTCCTTCCAGACTTGTCTGCTCGGTCCAGCACCCTCACTCTCTTGCTGCTGCTGAAAACAAAAAAAGTTTACCCCTTCTTAACTAACAAAGATTTCTGACAGATACAAATTTCATCAAGAAAGCCTGAGTCTACCTGTGAGGAAGCCTGCTGTGCAGGTCAGGAGAGAGAGCCACTGAGTTTTCGGCCGTGTCTCCATCGCTGTACACCAGGGGGCGCCCACAGTCCGTCAGGGTGCTGTTACTCAGACTGGCCCCAAGGGAGAATCTCTCTAGCAGGGCTGCAGCCCCCTGCCCTCCCCCTCCCCTGTCCTCCTCCTCCTCCCTCTCCCACAGGTATAGCTCCAGGGGAGCCAGGTGCCTGGCCAGACGCTTCAGGTCCTTCCTCCTCTGTCTGAGCCGCTCCTGCATCAGAATCATCATCATCTCCTCTCCCTCCTCCTCATCCCTCTTCCTGCCATTCTGTCCTGAGGCTAGAAGAGAGAAAGAGAAGGTCAAGGAGAGAATGAAAATTAGCACGAAACATTAGCATTACCTTACACCAAGATAGTGGGTTTGATTCCCGGGACCACCCGTATGTAAAATGTATGCACGCATGACTAAGTCACTTTGGATAAAAGCGTCTGCTAAATGGCATATATTATTATTATTTGTACTCCCTTTACGTTATGCTGGGCAGGAAGGTGAAGAGCAGTGACAGTAGTAGACAGTAGCTACCTGGGACAGTGCAGTGCCTCAGTCTCTGCAGTAGTGAGTTGTACTTCTCTCTCAGAGGGACCCTGACTGACTCCTCCTCCTCCGGGAAGGCCTGCACCAGAGTCTCTGCCACCTGGAAGGAGACAACAGCCTGGGATAAGAGACATGATTCCACTCTATATCTCTCCTGTGTAGGACATGGAAAAACACAATTAACCGAATAGGAATGTCTGTGACTGTATGTGAATGAGGTGACTGCTGGTCGGGTTTACCAGGGGTACAGGGGGAAGTTCAGAGACCAAGCTGAGGAGGGTGTCCTGGAGGATCTCCTCAGCGTTGAGGAAGCGGGAGAAAGGAAGGAAACGACAGGCCCAGTGGAGAGCCTCCTCACAGGCTGCTGTCACCTCACCGTCATCTGCTGGGACCTTCAGGATGAAATACACACATTTAACAGGTTGTTAACAGACCATCTATTATAGAGGATCACACACACACACCCAGACACACACCTTCAGGCTGAAGAAGATACACCAAGCAACACAGTAAAAAGGCCTTTGTGTAGTACCTGGGGATCTCTCCCACAGTTCCTTGCAGCCTGATACTTCCTGCAAGACATTGAGAGCTGGTCTCTGACATTCAGCATCCAGCACAGGCCACACAGCTCCCTGAAGCAGACTGGAGGAAAAAGGTTCTCGAATTAAGCTATGCTTCAATGGATGAATGTAGTTCAATGGTGTGACAAACAGTAAAAAAAGTATCTTACTGATAGTTTGTATAGTGACCGAGTCCAGGGTTCCGGCCCCACTGGGTCCCAGTCTGAAGAATCCACCGCGGGTCACAAACTTCATCAGAGCCTCTGGGAAGGCCTTGGTCACACACTGCTGCTGGGAGTACTTCTGACGGATCTAAAGACCAACCACCAAGTTAGTCACCACAAGATTCAACATAATACTCCAAATCATTTCATTACACTCAAGAAGATTGAGTGTTTTTCCCCCCACTGTATGAAGGTGACTATCTATTGTGTAAAACAGATAGGAGGGTGTTTAGAGGGTGTGGGGCAGAGGGCTGGAGACCGGTAAGAACAGGATAGCAGAGTACCCTGTGTAGGCGATGTCGGGAGCGTTGCAGGTGGCTGATGTACCACTGGGCAGCGGGACGGGAGCAGCGGGCAGACCTCAGGAGCAGCAGCACCCTCTGGAGGACCCCTGACACCCTGTGACGGGACGCCCCCTCCAACAGCTGCCCAAACACCCCTGACGGGTCCTAAGTATATACAGTGGGGGGAAAAAAGTATTTAGTCAGCCACCAATTGTGCAAGTTCTTCCACTTAAAAAGATGAGAGAGGCCTGTAATTTTCATCATAGGTACACGTCAACTATGACAGACAAATTGAGAAGAAAAAAATCCAGAAAATCACATTGTAGGATTTTTAATGAATTTATTTGCAAATTATGTTGGAAAATAAGTATTTGGTCACCTACAAACAAGCAAGATTTCTGGCTCTCACAGACCTGCAACTTCTTCTTTAAGAGGCTCCTCTGTCCTCCACTCGTTACCTGTATTAATGGCACCTGTTTGAACTTGTTATCAGTATAAAAGACACCTGTCCACAACCTCAAACAGTCACACTCCAAACTCCACTATGGCCAAGACCAAAGAGCTGTCAAAGGACACCAGAAACAAAATTGTAGACCTGCACCAGGCTGGGAAGACTGAATCTGCAATAGGTAAGCAGCTTGATTTGAAGAAATCAACTGTGGGAGCAATTATTAGGAAATGGAAGACATACAAGACCACTGATAATCTCCCTCGATCTGGGGCTCCACGCAAGATGTCACCCTGTGGGGTCAAAATGATCACAAGAACGGTGAGCAAAAATCCCAGAACCACACGGGGGGACCTAGTGAATGACCTGCAGAGAGCTGGGACCAAAGTAACAAAGCCTACCATCAGCAACACATTACGCCGCCAGGGACTCAAATCCTGCAGTGCCAGACGTGTCCCCCTGCTTAAGCCAGTACATGTCCAGGCCCGTCTGAAGTTTGCTAGAGTGCATTTGGATGATCCAGAAGAGGATTAGGAGAATGTCATACGGTCAGATGAAACCAAAATATAACTTTTTGGTAAAAACTCAACTCGTCGTGTTTGGAGGACAAAGAATGCTGAGTTGCATCCAAAGAACACCATACCTACTGTGAAGCATGGGGGTGGAAACATCATGCTTTGGGGCTGTTTTTCTGCAAAGGGACCAGGACGACTGATCCGTGTAAAGGAAAGAATGAATGGGGCCATGTATCGTGAGATTTTGAGTGAAAACCTCCTTCCATCAGCAAGGGCATTGAAGATGAAACGTGGCTGGATCTTTCAGCATGACAATGATCCCAAACACACCGCACGGGCAACGAAGGAGTGGCTTCGTAAGAAGCATTTCAAGGTCCTGGAATGACCTAGCCAGTCTCCAGATCTCAACCCCATAGAAAATCTTTGGAGGGAGTTGAAAGTCTGTGTTGCCCAGCGACAGCCCCAAAACATCACTGCTCTAGAGGAGATCTGCATGGAGGAATGGGCCAAAATACCAGCAACAGTGTGTGAAAACCTTGTGAAGACTTACAGAAAACGTTTGACCTGTGTCATTGCCAACAAAGGGTATATAACAAAGTATTGAGAAACTTTTGTTATTGACCAAATACTTATTTTCCACCATAATTTGCAAATAAATTCATTAAAAATCCTACAATGTGATTTTCTGGAATGTTTTTTCTCATTTTGTCTGTCATAGTTGACGTGTACCTATGATGAAAATTACAGGCCTCTCTCATCTTTTTAAGTGGAAGAACTTGCACAATTGCTGGCTGACTAAATACTTTTTTTCCCCACTGTAGTTGGAAGAATTGTTTTAACTCTATAGCCCTGAGCAGGTAACATATACATACAAGACCTTCCAGTGCATGCATAGACACCTAAAGGTTCAATTTCTAGATATTTCTATATCCCCCCCCTTACTCAGCAGCACCATCTTGTTACTCAATTCTGGGAATACTCTGTCCTCTGTAGTACCTGTGTGTTGGGTGCAGGCTGGGGGCAGTAGAGAGGGGGTGCAGGCAGGTACAGGCCCATAGGCACCAGAGCAGGAAGGCAGGAGGACAGGTCTTTGGCTGAGTCGAGTAGAGCACCCAGGGGCTGGGACAACACATCTACCCCAGCCATGACTGATGCCTTCAGGATCTCCTGCACTGAACCCTGCAACAACTCCACGTCCTCACCCTCCAGAGAGTCTGAAAGAGAGAGAGAGAAAGAGAGAGAATTATAAAAGTGATGTAAAAAATGAAAAGTACATATGAGAGATCGAGATGTGGAGGCAAACTGTCCTGCAGAATGGAGTAGCCGAGGTCCACACCATCAGGCACAACAGACCTGTGAAGCTCTTGTAGTTATCCTCGTCTCCTTGGGTCTCCTCTGGCCCAGCCTTCCTGCCCAGTAGAGACTCAAGCTGACCCTGAAAGATGCTCACAGGCTCAAGGGCTGCTGGGAGATGTAGTTCTCTCCACCTGAGCCTGAGGTGGCAACAGAGAGCCATCAGAAACTCACAAAAGCTCATTAACCTATTCACCACAATCCATATACAAGTCTCAGTGGTGAATTGATGAGCTAGAAGCTCTTACACGTACAGACAAACACACACTGACCCGGTGAAGTCGCAGTGCTCTGCTGCGTAAGTTGTGTAGGCCAGGCCCAGGGAGGCTGCAGTCTTCCAGTCCCCCAGACAATGAGCCAGCCAGGTGGCTTCAGGCAGCAGCCCCCCCTGCAGCAGCAGGTCCTGGGTATAGCCCACCGTCCACACCTCTGACAGCTGCTGCCCCCGCACCGCCCCTGCCACACGCTCCTGGCACAGGGGCACCAGGCGCCCAACACCTGGGGCTGGAGAGAGTGGATACAGACATAGATATAAACACACTGGCCTGTATGGTCAAATACTGTGTGTGTGTGTGTGTGTGTGTGTGTGTGTGTGTGTGTGTGTGTGTGTGTGTGTGTGTGTTGAGGGAGTTCTTACCATGGGGGAGGTGTAAGGGAGGCAGTACATCCACACTGTGAGGGGGCAGGATGAGAAGGGGCTTGTTGGTGAAATATGAGGCCATGAACCTTCCCAGAGTCTGGACTACAGCACAGGCTGCCTCACTGTGGACCTCCCCTGGCAGCCAGGAGCCAGGAAGAGCCTCCTCTAGAACCAACAGATAAATCAAGTCAATGTCAACAAGCAACAATGACTTTTAAAACTGACACAGATACAGTCTCTTAGCATTTTAGCTCTACGTAAAGACAAAAGTATCATTAAAAATATATATATCTCTTCCAATGAACCTGGATTGACCAAGATCAATACATACCAGTGTTGTGGGCCCTATCATCACCATATTGTCCAGCCTGATGGAGTAGCAGACGGGCCATGTGGTCCCCCAGCCCCTGGGCCTCTTTCAGACGGTACTGGAACAGTAGTCCATACAGCAGGGACAGCAACAGACGTGTTTCCAAGAACGCACTCCGAGGCCCATCTGGGGAACAGGAGGTGACACGTTTAGATTCAAACTGTACCCCAAAACCACACGTCAACTAAACTATCCTTCTCACCTCTCTGTCTCTCTGCCCACAGCTCAGCCCTCCAAGCCTGAGCACTCTCTGAGTAGCAACCAAACAGGAAGTGCTGTTCCCCTAGGGACCCAAAAGAAGGTTGCACATTTGAATCATCACTTACAGTGCCTTCAGAAAGTATTCAGACCCCTTGACTTTTTCCACATTTTGTTAGGCTACAGCCTTATTCTAAAATTGATTAAATTGTTTTTTTCCTCAATCTACACACAATACCCCATAATGACAAAGCAACATTTTTATAAAAATAAAAAAACGGACTTTGTTGAAGCACCTTTGGCAGCGATGACAGCCTTGAGTCTTCTTAGGTATGACTCTACAAGCTTAGCACACCTGTATTTGGGGAGTTTCTCCCATTCTTCTCTGTAGATCCTCTCAAGCTCTGTCAGGTTGGATGGGGAGCGTTGCTGCACAGCTATTTTCAGGTCTCTCCAGAGATGTTCAATCAGGTTCAAGTCCGTGGTCTGGCTGGGCCACTCAAGGACATTCAGAGACTTGTCCCGAAGCCACTCCTGCGTTGTCTTGGCTGTGTGCTTAGGGTCGTTGTCCTGTTGGAAGGTCAACCTTCGACCCAGTCTGAGGTCCTGAGAGCTCTGGAGCAGGTTTTCATCAAGGACCGCTCTGTACTTTGCTCCGTTCATCTTTGCCTCGATCCTGACTAGTCTCCCAGTCCCTGCCGCTGAAAAACATCCCCACAGCATGATGCTGCCACCACGCTTCACCATAGGGATGGTGCCAGGTTTCCTCCAGACGTGACGCTTGGCATTCAGGCCAAAACAGTTCAATCTTGGTTTGACCAGACCAGAGAATCTTGTTTCTCATGGTCTGAGAGTCTTTAGGTGCCTTTTGGCAAACTCCAAGTGGGCTGTCATGTGCCTTTTACTGAGGAGTGGGTTCCATCTGACCACTCTACCATAAAGGCCTGATTGGTGAAGTGCGGCAGAGATGGTTGTCCTTCTGGAAGGTTCTCCCATCTCCACAGAAGAATTCTAGAGCTCTGTCAGAGTGACTATCTGGTTCTTGGTCACCTCCCTGACCAAGGCCCTTCTCCCCCGATTGCTCAGTTTGGCCAGGCGGCCAACTCTAGGAAGAGTCTTGGTGGTTCCAAACTTCTTCCATTTAAGAATGATGAAGGCCACTGTGTTCTTGGGGACCTTCAATGCTGCAGAAATGTTTTGGTACCCTTCCCCAGATCTGTGCCTCGACACAATCCTGTCTCAGAGCTCTACGGACAATTCCTTCGACTTCATGGCTTGGTTTTTGCTCTGACATGCACTGTCAACTGTGGGACCTTATATAGACAGGTGTGTGCCTTTCCAAATCATGTCCAAACAATTGAATGTACCACAGGTGGACTCCAATCAAGTTGTAGAAACAGCTCAAGGATGATCAATGGAAACAGGATGCACCTGAGCTCAATTTCGAGTCTTACAGCAAAGGGTCTGAATAGTTATGTAAATAAGGTATCTGTTTTTAAATTTTAATACATTTGCAAAAATGTCTAAAAACCTGTTTTCGCTTTGTCATTATGGGGAATTGTGCATAGATTGCTGAGGATTTGTATTTATTTAATCCATTTTAGAATAAAGCTGTAATGTAACAAAATCAAGGGGTACAGAAACCAGACAACCCTCCAATTGTATAGGCCTCACACAGGCTCCCGTTCATCCTACCTGTGTAGCTCAGCAGAGTGGGCCCGTCCTCCAGCCTTTCTCCCATCCCCTGTAGAGCTGTCTGGATCTGGGACAGGATGACAGACACACGCCCCTGCTCCTCCTCCCAGCCCGTACCGCTCCCATGGTGCTTCAGCTCCTCCCAGTACTGCAGAGTGTGCCTGTATACTGCACGCCACACTCCCCGCAACCTGGAGAGGAATAATGTCAGAGGAATATGACAGAGCGAGATCAGACTAAAGGGCCAAAAATGACAGTAAGTTAAATCGATCACACACCCACTCTCATTAATACGCACAAGAGATTGACTCTACCTGCTAGACGGCCGCTGGGGGAGAGGCAAACCCTGTTGTAATGGCCCTGGCCCCCCTCCCTCCTCCTGCAGGAATAGCACACAGTAGACATCTGTGTGGGCACATTTCTGCTGGAGGCTGTAGGTGTGCTCCATACTGTGGGAGGTCAGCTCCAGGAGGAGCAGAGCTGTGGACAGGGTCTGGGAGGAGGGCTCAGAGCTAGCCTGGCCAGTCTGAGAGAGGTCAGGGGGCGAGGAGAGGAGCAGGCCCACTAGCTGTTGAGTGAGCTCCACAACCAAACCCAGGCAGCTCCTCCCCCCTGTGTGAGGGGCATCCCAGGGGAGGAAAGAGAGAAGGGTTCTGAGGAGGTGGAGGAGGTGAGAGGAGAAGGGAATGGTGCTCTTCTTTCTCCTTCCTGTGTGGGAGCAGGGGATGGAAATTAGACGGAGGAGAGCAGCGAAGCGGACAGCACAGCGGACCGTGTACTTCAGCAGACGCTCTCTCTGCTCCACAACGCCACCTAGTGACACACCCAGAGCCCACGCTGTCATCAGGCTGCCCTGGACCCCCCGGAGCTCAGGAGGGAGGGCTGGGGGTCTCCTCTCTGAGTCCACAGAGCTAGCATCAGGGTCAGGATGAGGGCGAGGACTGGGGTCAAGATCAGCCAGGGTGTCTGAGAGGGCATGGAGGGTGTCGAACATGGAGGCAAACTCCAGCCGACCTCGGTCCTCCACATGTGAACCAGCAGGCAGTCCTTCAAGATCAGAGTCATCCTCAAACAAAGCCTAAGAAAGCACACATAAACTCCTTTAAACAGAATAACATTAACTATGACGAAGAGATTAGAACATTCAGAGTGTGTGTGTGTGTGTGTTAATCAGCTGATGGCCAGACCTGAACTCTCTGGACCAGCTCCCTGGTGTCCCCCAGGCCTCCCTGGTCCTGCAGGAAGAGGGGCAGGGTGGATGTAGCTGTGGCTGTTGGGGTGGGTACGGGTGTGGGCCTGGCTCTCAGCTCCTGCAGACTGCTACTAAGCTTCAGACAGGATATGGACTCCAGCCACGCCCTGGCATGGGGCTGGGAAAAGAGAAGGAATACGGCAGAAAAATGAGTAAACAAACAACAAGAGAAATATAGTGGCCCGGTGGATGTTAGCTATTGACCAAATTATTATTGAGCATTACAGCAACTACACAACCACAAAAAAGGAAATGCACTGGAGCCAATTACATTCAACTCCCTCCCCTCACCTGTGTTCGCTCCAGTGCCCTGCTGGCACTCTCCAGGCCCTGGCTGGTGTCGTGCAGCAGAGCCCTGAGGAGGGTGGCAGGGGAGGACTGCTCAGGCACCCGCAGCACTGTGGCCATGTAGCCATCAGACACAATGAGGTAGGGCAGCCGCGGGTGCCAGGTCACTGAGTAGCGCTGTCTCAGGACGTCCCGTACAGACAGGCTGGAGCTGGACAGAGGGTCAACCCCAGCCCCCCCAACAGAGACTGGAGGTCTGAGGAGAGATGAGGGTGAGAGATGATTGGGAAAGGGGAAAGTGAGGTGAAATAAGGGAGAGATTTCATGTGTATATTATAGTAGTACAGTAACATGCTTTTCAAGAAGACAGGCATGTACCAATTATGTAGAAATAATCATCAGAAATGTCAGTGATTTATTTTATGTTGGTCAATGCAGAGCATTCAAGAGCCATCAAGCCAGTGAGATTATGTTTAGGAGATAGCACAAGTGTGCTGTGTGGAGTATCAAGACCAACATGTGTTAACCCCTCAAATACTTACATGAGAAAAAGGGTACAATGACCATGTTGGAAGAGGAGAGCGAAGAAATAGAGAAAGAAGATGATTACAGATGAGAGAGAAGAGAGGGAAACGAAATCGAGAAACGAATGGATCAAAACACATTTAAAATAATCTACAGTGGGTTCGTGACCAGTTTGACATTCTATGGCTATGGATGGACTGATTGATGAAGAGAGTATCACACTTGATGGTATATTTCCTGTTAGAGAACTTATGGAACACTTGAACAAATACAAATTGGTTAGGGTGGCTAGAATATGTAGGATTATCAAAACGGACCATTCCATTTGAAATGGGTTGCTTATATTAATGGAATCATTCTCATGTTTACCTGTAAGTGACTAGTGGATGCAGGGGCAGAAAGTGAGCAGGGCCAAAGTCCACATTGCACCCTGAGGTAGACAGAGAGAGCAGCCCCCCCAGACGAGCCAGCATGAGGAAGGAGCCCCTCTTCAGCACACAGGCCAGGTAGAGCCCCCCCACAGCCCAGCTCACACTGCCCACCCAGTACGACCTGCAGGATACAAGGGAGTCATCTTTATCATCTAAAACACATGCAGTATCTACATATTCCCTGTTCTAGTCGTGTACCTACCTCACGTATTTAGAAGGAATGACGAGTTTCTTGCTGCCACATCCCCCCAGTCCACTGGAGACAGTCACAAAGTTCTGAGTGCTGACAAAGAGAACCTGCGTAGCCCTGGGGTCTCTTTGGTTCAGGGCTACAGCTAACAGCAGGCCATCAGGGGAGAAGGCTGGCACCAGTGCCCCCCTGGACTTCACTGGGCGACAGGGTGGGGTGAGGCAGGACATGGGGTATGTCTTAGTGACCCAGCGTACACTGTACCCCACAGGACTGCAGGAAAAACATACATCACAATCAAATATATTCCAGATGAGCAATGTGAGAACAAATACCTTTGATTGTATTATGACAATAAAGATATAGAGGAGTGTAAATGCTTGAGAGGAAGTTTTGACCCCTTGACCCTGTGAAGCCTTTCCTAGTCCACTCACCTGCTCCTCTGGCCCTCCTCCCATTGGATCTTTAAGAAAGTGACACTTAGCTCCACCACCGAGGTGAAAACAAAAGCTGACAAGCAGATATCACCCACTGCCTGATATGGAGAGAGAAACAAGGTGGTAAAACAAGGAAAAGACAAGAAGAAATGATTAGGGCATGACAAACGTTCCCATGGTAACATGGGAAACTAGTCAAACATTTGCAACAGGATAATTTCTATCCCTGTCTCCTCACCTCCCCCCTGATGAAGATGCTGTGTTGAGATGCCTCCTTGTCTCTTGGGGTTGGCAGAGCAGTGTTTTCAGGGTGCTGTATCTGAGCCCAGCGTCCTCTGGCGGTACCATCCCGTACCCCTGACAGGTCGCGCACATCCACACACTCCCACAGGAACACCTGCCCCGTCACAGTCACCAGCAGCACCCGCATCCCATCCCCTGAAACCACCAGAGACAGGCACACGCCAGACCCTGTGTCCATACACACACATACGCAGTAAGGACATGGAGCTGTGTTGGCAAGCTTGAACATGGCTCATTGTAACAATGGCTTGCGCACATACAGACCTTGTGCTGCAGTGACGAGCTGAGCTTCTGTAGGGACTGCTGCCACGGTCTTCAAGGAGTCTTTGTCCCTGCTCCATAGAAACAGCTCTCCTGAGACCAGCAATCCGGCAAGCCACACACCTACAAACGGAAATGAATCATGGGAATGAAGATTACTGCCGTGTTTCTATGGAATCAAATGGTGTTGAAATGTAAAGGCCACTGAAAGCGTACCGTTCTGGGATGCGGCCATGGTTACCACCCTGGGGAGCAGGGGCTGCAGCTTGGGGGTCTTCTTCTTGGTGCGTCCAGACACCATGTTAATCTCACTGATCCGCTTGTCATCCAGCAGGAAAACAGACTCCTTCTCCTGGACAAATCAACCGTTTGATACAGTCACAAACTGCACAGATACTACTGTTTTCAATACTAGTCCATTTCCTGTTCAAGCTGTGCAATCAAAGATTTCCATTATCTAGTGATGGATGTCAACATCTCTGTGTGGATGATTGACAATTCAGTGTCCTCACCAATCCGAGCCAACAGAACCTTGGCCATGGTTTCTTCCGTTTGATGCTTGATGACAACACAACCTCCAGCTTCTGTTCCATCTTTAATCGATAACGTTAGCGTACTCCCTTTTTAGGTACTGATGGAGAAATCATCATGCACCATCTTCAATCATCTCAGGTCGAGTTGATGTTTTATAATGGTAGGGAGTAGCTAGCTAAACGAAATGCCGAGAAGGTATCACAGGTCAGATATCACACAAATGATGATAACAGTGATTTAGCTGGTAGCTAGCTAGCATGTATGCTACTTAGGCGTCCCCAACAACAAGGCAGTGTTGGCTGGCTAACTAGCTCACGTTAGCTAGCTGATGCTAACAACGACCCAAACTATTTGCACTGAATCTCAACAGTAATCTCTAATGTCATTCAAATATTATTATTGTTTAAAATTACTGCAAGAGCTCGACCTACAGAAAGAATGAAAAAAGACATTTTAATACCATATTTTCGAAGAATTTCACATTTCCCTCCGCTTTCTGTGACGGGAGAGACTTTCCCATGATCCTGACTCCTCCTGAGTGAAGCCACGGCGTTGCCTTGGAGCCAGACAAAGCCAGAATTGTTTTTTGTGGTGCTAAATGAAAATAGCTAGCTAGCTATCTACCGACATCATGTGGCGAATATAGGTACTACGTCTATAAAGCTGTGTTTAAGAGAGGTAGCGTTTATTATTTCAGTATTTTTTTCCTTCCTACGCTTCCGTAGTTGCATCGTCTTTTCAGTGCGTACGCCGCTGCTGTTATTGTCAACGCCATTGAATCTTTCTTCAAAATGTTAATGTCTCAGAAGTGGTAGCTAAATCAGTTTAGGTTTGTTACAGTAGTTGTTGCTTCTGGATTTAGTGATATCGTTTTGTTCTCCTTTTCTTGGCAAGGATGTCTTTCAGGAGGGTAACAAAGCTGGTGTGTGGGCTTGCTGGTGGATCAGCAGTACTTGTGGCAATGGCTGAACCGAAAGGATATTATTTGGAAAAAACAAAACATAACGAAAGTTCAAAAAAATTGACTGGTCTAGGTGTTCTCCAAGCAGCAGTGCCTCAGACGTGGTCACCAGGCCATGACCACACTGTGACTGCCAGTGGGAATGGCTGGGACAGTAACTGGGATAAGTAAGCTTCAATTAGCCCAAATTAATTTATCATGAGCACATCTCTCAATAAAGGGAGTAAGATTGAATCAGTCTAGCTAGCACTCTGGAATCAATGTCATTGATTCGTTGTCAATTGTCATTATGGGAATGTGTGTATAAAGTGTAAATAATAATAATAATAGGCCTCCTGTAGCTCAGTTGGTAGAGCATGGCGCTTGCAACGCCAGGGTTGTGGGTTCGATTCCCACGGGGGGCCAGTATGAAAAATTTATGCACTCACTAACTGTGAGTCGCTCTGGATAAGAGCGTCTGCTAAATCACTAAAATGTAATATGTTTCATAATTCCCTGATCTCTGCTATTTCATATGATTCCATTTTAAGGCGTGACCCCCTGGCACTCATAAATGGGAAGAAAAAGAAGGACAAAGAGATCACCAGTGAAGAACTGAACACAGAGATGGAGAACAACAAACCCAAAGCCACTCGTCACATCTTTCTGATTCGCCACTCACAGTACAACCTGAATGGGAGCGTGGACAAGGAGAGGGTCCTAACCCCTCTAGGTATGTATATGAAGTGCATTGATTAGTGTTGTAGCCACTAAAAAAGTATCAGTGAGGGGGCTGAAGTAAATTGAATCCAATAAAGCACTGATTGATTGATTTTGATTCATAGGCAGGGAGCAGGCTGAGTACACTGGTCAGCGATTGGCTGCCCTGGGGTTGAAGTATGATGTCATGGTCCACTCCACCATGACCCGTGCCACAGAAACTGCCAAGATCATCAGCAAGCATCTTCCAGGTCAGAGACAACAGGACACCACTCATTCTAACCAAACTCAAAAGTAATTCTAAGCCTCCACTCTGAACAGTCCTAACCATATAACTTATTTTGCTCTCAATCTCTGCATTAGAGGTGGACAAAGTGAGCTGTGACCTGCTTAGAGAGGGTGCTCCCATTGAGCCTGTGCCACCAATCTCCTGGAAACCTGACTGTGTGGTGAGTGATTGCTATCCGTAGTCCTGGAGATGGATGCAATTACCCACTTGCACTTAATTTTCTTGTGAGATATTTACTTAAAAGGCTTAACTGATACAATCCATTTAGCGCTTGAGCTTCAAAGCAATCTGTTAAGTGCTGTATAAAATTGGATATCTGTCATAACTTTCCCTCACACACTGTACTGGTGCTTTGGTTTCTGCAGTATCATGAAGATGGAGCTCGGATCGAGGCAGCCTTCCGCCGCTACATCCACCGGGCAGACACCAAGCAGACAGAGGATAGCTACGAGATCATTGTCTGCCACGCAAACGTTATTCGCTACTTTGTGTGCAGGTTAGTCCCTCACGTCATCAACAACACCCGATGGAGTTGCATTTCTTTTCACAAGCAGAGCATAGCTCAGCTAATTCATAGTGAGTGATTTGTCCTCAGTGAGGTGAACATTCAAGAGGTTCACAGATTACTGGAAAGGTGTGAAAAACATGATCTACTAGTCAATGTTCAACACTGATAATTTAGTCCAAGGTCCTGGTTTCCTATGGTAATGCTTTAATAGGGACACATTTCTTTAGGCGTGGATTGTGAGCTCAAATCTAATGTTATGGAACTGTTTATCTTGGTTGATATAGGGCTCTGCAGTTTCCCCCAGAAGGTTGGCTGCGGCTGGGCCTGAATAACGGCAGCATCACCTGGATCACCATCAGACCCAGTGGCAGGGTGGGACTGAGGATGATGGGCGACTCAGGCTTTATGCCTCCTGAAAAACTCACCCGTACCTAACACTCCTTCACCACTATTGGCTGGCAACATGTAACCTGACCTTCTGCTGCCACATAATTTGAAGCCATAATTTATCCTCTATAAGATGGTTTTGCCCACGTTGGGAATCATTATTTTGACTGCAGTTTTGTATGGAAAAAATTATTTGTAATAATGTATTTTACAGACAGTGCCATTTCTTAGTAAATTGATTTATTTGATAATGCTTTAATATTACAGTTTATGAATAAACATGAGGAAATGTTATGACTACATCCATAATCGTTTTTGTGTATACAGTTGAAGTCGGAAGTTTACATACACTTAGGTTGGGAGTCATTAAAAGTAGTTTTTCAACCACTCCACAAACTATAGTTTTGGCAAGTCGGTTAGGACATCTACTTTGTGCATGACACAAGTAATTTCTCCAACAATTGTTTAGACAGATTATTTCACTTATAATTCACTGTATCACAATTCCAGTGGGTCAGAAGTTTACATACACTAAGTTGACTGTGCCTTTAAACAGCTTGGACAATTCCAGAAAATGCTGATAGGCTAATTGACATCATTTGAGTCAATTGGAGGTGTACCTGTGGATGTATTTCAAGGCCTACCTTCAAACTCAGTGCCTCTTTGCTTGACATCATGGGAAAATCAAAATAAATCAGCCAAGACCTCAGGAAAAAATTTTGTAGACCTCCACAAGTCTACAAACGCCTGAAGGTACCACGTTCATCTGTACAAACAATAGTACGCAATTATAAACACCATTGTACCACGCAGCCGTCATACCGCTCAGGATGGAGATGCGTTCTGTCTCCTAGAGATTAACGTACTTTGGTGCGAAAAGTGCAAATCAATCCCAGAACAACAGCAAATGACCTTGTGAAGATGCTGGAGGAAACGGGTACAAAAGTATCTATATCCACAGTAAAACGAGTCCTATATCGACATAACCTGAAAGGCCGCTCAGCAAGGAAGAAGCCACTGCTCCAAAACCGCCATAAAAAATCCAGACTATGGTTTGCAACTGCACATGGGGACAAAGATCGTACTTTTTTGAGAAATGTCCTCTGGTCTGATGAAACAAAAATAGAACTGTTTGGCCATAATGACCATCGTTATGTTTGGAGGAAAAAGGTGGGTCTTGCAAGCCGAAGAACACCGTCCCAACCGTGAAGCACGGTGGTGGCAGCATCATGCTGTGGGGGTGCTTTGCTGCAGGAGGGACTGGTGCACTTCACAAAATAGATGGCATCATGAGGAAGGAAAATTATGTGGATATATTGAAGCAACATCTCAAGACATCAGTCAGGAAGTTAAAGCTTGGTCACAAATGGGTCTTCCAAATGGACAATGACCCCAAACATACTTCCAAAATTGTGGCAAAATGGCTTAAGGACAACAAAGTCAAGGTATTGGAGTGGCCATCACAAAGCCCTGACCTCAATCCTATGGACAATTTGTGGGCAGAACTGAAAAAGCGTGTGCGAGCAAGGAGGCCTACAAACCTGACTCAGTTACACCAGCTCTGTCAGGAGAAATGGGCCAAAATTCACCCAACTTATTGTGAGAAGCTTGTGGAAGGCTACCCGAAACGTTTGACCCAAGTTAAACAATTTAAAGGCAATGCTACCAAATACTAATTGAGTGTATGTAAACTTCTGACCCACTGGGAATGTGATGAAATAAATAAAAGCTGAAATAAATCATTCTCTCTACTATTATTCTGACATTTCACATTCTTAAAATAAAGTGGTGATCCTAACTGACCTAAGACAGAGAATTTTTACTAGGATTAAATGTCAGGAATTGTGAAAAACTGAGTTTAAATGTATTTGGCTAAGGTGTATGTAAACTTCCGACTTCAACTGTAGGTATACATTAAAACAATAGATAATTTAAAACTCCTAATTTAGCTCTGGAATCAGCTAGTTAAGTGATGAATTAACAATATAAAAGCATTTTCACATTTCATATGAAAAAGCATCATTGCACATAGTATACACATTACATACTGTATCACTTTAACACTGGGAGGAGTGTACACTCCATCAGGTAAATTCAAAGTGTAATCTGTAGCTATGCTATCCACCGGAAGAGAATGCTTGCATTGAGTACATGCATAAGTGCTGTAGGCAGGCAGCATTAGTGCAAAGATCAGATCAATAGCTACCTGATAAGGTAATAGTGTTAAGTGTGGCAGTGGCTTGCATAGAACAGCCAAAAGAGCTGCACGAATGGAAACCAGCACAAAGGTAAAATAAGCACATGTAACCTGTTAAAATGGCAATGTAGTGGTTTCCTGCCTGGGTTCTAAAGTCAGACTATAGACATGATGTGGTGGTACAGGATGTTGGCCAACATTCCCTGTTATATTTGCAACACCACCTTCAGATGGTGGGACATGACATCCTGTTTGCTCGTGGTTTCCCTGTGTCAGTTTGGGGAGTGGAAGAGGGTCCTGCAGAGGATGGTCTGGGTGTAACAGCTCTGGGTGTGGGGGCCTGGGCTGTGAATGCTGGGAGAACAGTTTGGTGTCCAAGTCAAGCTTCTCCTCCTCCTTGGGCTTGGCCAGCTGGAAATACACAACATCAGCAGCATTAACCACCTGAGGGGTATACTACAAAGCAGGATCAATGAGTTAGCCAGAAATTACCATTGATTTTATGGTTCATTTAAAAAAGCTAAACTTCAACATGTTTTTTCGTTTGTTAAATCAATTAGACCATGCCCATTTCAAGCGCATCTTTCTACAAAATAAAAAGTTATATCAGAATATTAAGACACGTTAACGCCATAGTCCTGCTTTGTAGTACAGCGCTCAGGAGTATCGAAGACGAGATTATGCTCTGTCAGCAGACATAGCATAAAGAAACAGAATATGTATCTAGCTCACCTTAACCTCTTTGAAGAGGGATAGGCCAGAATGGTGTTCTTCCACTTAGTAATGCAGGGGTATCTCTCAGGGTCTATCTCCATGTTATTCATTGCAGACAGGACCTCACTGTCCAACTTGGTGGGAGATTCCCTGCAAGAAAGAGTCAAAGAACATTGGTTAGCATTTCCATTGGGTTACCAAGACAAACATTTATTGTGTGAGTTTAAATTGCAGCAGATCATTTTGACAGGTTGACTGATGTCATTTGCTTTTACTTAAACTACATTAAATAAACAAAGACTTACCCATCCATGAACAGTTCCTGTCTTCGTCTTGTAGGGGTGTCAGTCGTCAGAATTGTGTCTTTAGAGGTGTCTCCTTCCGTGGATTTGTAAGATGCGCTAGAGGATACTGAGCCTCTCCTATCTCTTCCATCTCTGGGACCATCTGGGCCCTCTGGGTCTGAGCCCTCGTCTGCAGTCAGATACTCCTCTGAGCTGGGGTTAGAGAGCTCCTCCACCTGCCTCTTCCCCTGGCTCCTCTCCCAGGTCCTCCAGAAGCTGCCGTCCCCCAGGTCCAGGCCTTCTCTCCAAGGTACAGAGGGAGCCATACATGCCTTCTCTGGGTCCTCCACAGTGCCAGAGCCTACCTTTAGGCTGGCTTTCTCAAACTCTGGCAGGAGGTTACACACAGGGGACTGGGAGCTCTTCTCCACTGGTGCAGAGTTCTTGTCATTCAGGATGTGGTTAGACGGCGCATGGCTGTGGTGGTTTTTCTGCTCCTCTGAAATGACGCAAACACATAAATTTGAGATTATTTTTGGATTTCCCTGTATAATTTCAAGCATGAAATAATATGTTATAACATACAATACATGTTTGTAAGGTCCTAGATTTTCTATGGAAGTGCTTACCTTTGGAGGGTGTTGATGCTTTAAATCGACCACCGGTCCCCTCTGTCCTCCCATATTCTTCTTGGGGAAGCTCACTTTGGTCCTTCCTATCCAGATACTCTTCCAGCCTCTTCAGTCCCTCCTCTGTAGACAGGTCAATGAAGCTATCAAGGAAGTCCCAGTACTCTGCCCAAGGATGCCCCATGCCATGTGCAATCTCCCTGTTGAGAGAGATCAGATCAATCAGATAACATGCCACTGCCATACAACGGTAGCCATTACATTTTTCCTTGACATGACATTCATCTATCGTCAGCAAGATTATGGTTCCTTGATAAGATGCTGCTTGTTTGTTTCTTTAGAGTTTAGCCTATGAAAGGCCCAGTGCAGTCAAAAACTATATTTTCCTATGTTTTACATATACACTGAGTGTACAAAACATTAGGAGCACCTTCCTAATATTGAGTTGCATGTCCTTTTGCCCTCAGTACAGCCTCAATTTGTCAGGGCATGGACTCGTGTCGAAAGTGTTCCACAGGGATGCTGGCCCATGTTGACTCCAATGCTTCCCAAAGTTGTGTCAAGTTGGCTGGATGTCCTTTGTGCGGTGGACCATTTTTGATACACACGAGAAACTGTTGAGCGTGAAAAACCCAGCAGCGTTGCAGTTCTTGACACACTCAACCGGTGTGCCTGGCACCTACTACCATACCCTGTTCAAAGGCACTTAAAAATATTTTGTCTTGCCCATTCACCCACTGAATGGCACACATACACAATCCATGTCTCAATTATCTCAAGCTTTAAAATCCTTTAACCGGTCTCCTCCCCTCCCCTGATTGAAGTGGATTTAACAAGTTACATCAATTAGGGATCATAGCTTTCACCTGGTCAGTCTATGTCATGGAAATAGCAGTGTTCCTAATGTTTTGTACACTCAGTGTATTTCCACACTATACGGTTGGAATAATATTGTGAAATTTATGATAATGCCCTTTTAGTGTAAGAGCTGTTTGAAAAGACCCCATGAAATTTCAACCTGTTTTGGTGGAATGGTGGAACCATTTTAATTGAAAACAAATCACAGTAAGGTACTTAAATGTTTCCCAGAATGATTTGATATTGAGATAAAGAACGGCTGCATTGGACCTTTAATAAAGGTCACAGGTCCACTGTTCACTCACCTCCCCACACGCTCTGCACCCCTGTCAGGGTCAGATTTGAGAATACGGTGGAAATACTCTGCTCGATCCCTGGGTGGAGTTCTCCATAGTCTATGGAACTCATCTGCCTGTAAGACCAATACAGAAAACGGGTTTATTGGGTTTAGAGACAAAGGCCTATGAGCCTCTATAGATTGAGTTTTTCATTGTACAATACTCCAAGGTATTGAGATTACCTTTGAGGGACTGAGGGGACCCACATATGCTCTCACAGTCATGACTGGGTCTATGGGACTCCCAGCCACTCCTGATCCCAGCGAATGAAAATCCACCTCGAGTGGGCTTGGTGACCATGGCAAACCAATCACAGGCTGGAAGCTGTTGTCTGTATCCCTCAGCAAGGGAACATAGCACCGTTCTGTGTCAGAAAAGGGTCAAAGTTACTAATGTGTTCACAAGTTGGCATTTGCACATACAAAAAGGTGTTATAGCCAGCATTGGCAACCATCTAAACTTACCCTCCAAATAGTCCTTGATCTTTTTCTTTATGTCAGCGGTTTTGTTTTTCCTCTCACATATCACCTGTAAAAACAGTTATAAAGTAAAGTATTTAGTAATCTAAATCGTGCCTTTTCTGGCATGAAATTCAGGGGACAATACACCTTACTGAACAGAAATTGAATGCTTTATTAAATTAAGTGATTCTTCATGGCTGTAATGTGACTTACACTAGAGGGCTTCTGGTTGTACTTGTTCTGCCGGTGTTTATCAGTGGCAGGATGAGAACACAGCACGTTGACCACGTCTGGACAGCCAAACTTACAGGCAAAGTGAAGAGGAGTTTCATTGCTCTGCAGGGACATCACACACATTTAGTACATCTCATTAATACCTTATAAACACACTTTAACACTATCAAACTATCATTTGGGTGTGCATTGTGCTGACTACCAACTACCATTGTATTACACAGTTACGGTTCATATACTGCAAGTTCTTACTGCTTTGTCAGGTGTGTTGAGGTACAGGTCAACGAGGTAACGGATGCGTTGGTGTAGCATGGCCTCCTGGTCATCAGGATACATGAGTCTCATGAAGTCTGGGCTCTCCAGGGTGTCCAAGAGGAGCTGTACCATCCCTGACTGGTTCTCTTTGGCCGCCACATGCAGGACATTATAATGGCATCCTTCCTACAAACAGGAGTTATTCCACATAAGAGTATGTGAAGCACAATTCTGCTCCCATGGAAATGATAGAAACATGAATCATATCATGAGTACATACATGCACGATGGTGGGGTTGTCTCCCGATCCGATAAGATAGCGTGGGTTGGCCCAGACCAGCTTGCTGAAGGCTTCCTTGTCCCCCTTCTCCACTGCCTTTCTCAGCTTGGCTGTCAGGTCCTGGGTGCGGGGGCTGCGGAACTCATTAGCCCTCTCCAGGTTCAAAGGTGAAGTCCCCCCTGCGGTAGGGCTGCCTGGGAGGACAAGAGTGTAATTGTATGCATGCTGGTCAACCTTTTTTTTGCTAATTTTACATGACACAAAAGAGGTGAATGATCCATCTAGCTCTCTATCTATATAGTGGCTCTATATTAGATAAAGCCATGCTATGACGCAGACACACCTGTGTGGACTACAGGTTCCAGCACTCCCTGGGGCCCGTCTGGTGCAGTTGTGATGGCTGAAGCTGGGCTATGTTCATTGATGCCTTTTGAGAATTTCTCAGCTTCCTCTCGTGTTGAGAAGGACTTAAACCTTGACTCTTTCATTGTCATCATGGCTCTCAGAGCTTTCTTCCTGTCCACATATACGTGGACTTTGTCTAGTGGGGAAAACAGTCATTCACCACACATTGAACTCAGAGACAATCTCTATCATGTATTATTCATAGGACAAAAATAGGTCTTACCATCAGTGACCACTGACTCCTCCCAATGAGGACATACACCATAGTAAACAAGGGGAGATTCTGGTTCATCCAATTCCTCTGTCTCTTTGCCCTCCTCTGCTGATGATTTGAGTTCCAGATTGTGGTCCGCTTCTACTGTATCTGTTAAGGGTCTATTAGACTCTGCATTGGAGGATCTACCTCCACCAGACATCCCTCCATCCCCTCCCTGCTTCTCCAGGAGGGATCTGGCCAGCTTCCTCTCAAAGATGGCTCTTGTAGTGGTGGTAAGGACGCCACACTTCAGCCCTGCCCCGATAATCTCCTGTCGTAGCTGATCTGGGTTCAGGGTCTGCAGCCTGCTCATGACTTCCTCCATGTTGCTGTCACTACCTAGGAGAAATAAACGTGGCATACCCAGAGAAGAGTCATGTTACAAACATACTCTGAAGAATATAGTCAAATGACACATCCATTATTTTGGAAAAAAATACTACCAAATAAAATGGTACGTCGTGTCATAGGCTACGGATAAGACGTTATTGAACCACTCTGGTGAAGTTCTCTTCAAAATCACATGCATAATTGGCAAAACGATGGTCTAAAACGGAACAGACTTACTACACACCATTGTAGCCTACGTATATATATTTTTTGATGTGGAACGATTCCATGTGGATAATATTGCAACAATGTAGCTGGAGCAAGTCTTCTGTTTACCTACGCCTGTTGTTTACATATCGGGGAGCGAGCTCATTGGTCATTTCAAACAAAACGATGCCCTGCCTTTACCGATTTGACTCATTAAACAAATAGTTGTAAATTTGTAATAATGTTTGATATGTCATTACATTCAACGTGCTGCAGCTCTAGGGCATTTGCATTTACACAATCAATAGTTAAATATGTATTATTTAGGCTACGATGCGTACTTAGGACGACCCAATTCGCACAATGGCTGCCCCTTTGCCCCATAATCATTGGTTATGATACATTTATAGTGCTAGGGCTAGGCCATATTTTCCCATTCAGGAGTGTACTACAATAGCTAACTTTTACCTAGCCACCCTAGCTAATGGCAGCAAAAGCCTAATTAAATTACGTGCCAGGCATTTCTTTAACTTAGATGGACTCGTAAACGTTCTCGAATACACTCAGATAAATTGATATCTTACTTCACAGACTCGTGCTTGCAGTCCTATGGTGTATTCATTACGTATTGCAATGGAAACCGTTTACCGTATAAGAACCGATAGCACCAAATATTTTTTATAACTAAGATAGTCCTTTCCAATTGGAAAAAATGAGTCATAATGGGAAGAACAAGCAAGGAGGTGGTCGGAGCCAAGCGCGAGATCCTATTGGCGCGTTCAAGCAAATATTTGCATATTTCCGTTAGGGACGCCTACTCTGTGAAATGCGCGTGTGCACTAATTCAATTCGCCCTTGCACTCCTTCTAAACAATGCAATATTTTGAAACTTTGGCAAAGGGTAAAGTGTATAAAACGTTGTTCACTCTGTTCTAAACAGATTATAGTTTTGGGAACAGAAAACTGTATTGAGATAAAAATGTTCATTAATAAGAACATTTGCAGAATGTCGGCCAACATACATCTTGTTCCATCTTCTCCTACTGTCGACCACTGGGCTTCCTCTCACTACCATATTTGGTAGTGAGTGGAAATGCCAAGCGGCTGCTTCACATTTATACGTCCAGTGAAATATCTGTCTCATTGCTCTATCTGTGATAGCACTGACCAAGTAAACAGAGCAAACGAAACTGGGAGGGACCTTCTTCTTCTGTAATGTTTTATTGGCGGACTACATCCCAAAAGGTGTATTGCCACCACCTACTGGGTGGGGTAAAAACGTAGATACTTTAACGAAAAATAAATAAATAAATAAATAAAATCATATTATTAAAAAAAAAAAGTTGGAAAAAAGTAGATGTACTCCTTGCTGACCACACAGCTCGCGGGCGTACATGCGCATGTTGATTTTGTCCACCCACACCACACCAGACGTGATCAAGACAAGCAGGTTGAAATATCAAAACGAACTCTGATCCAACTATATTCATTTGGGCCAGGTCGAAAAGCATTAAACATTTATGGCAATTTAGCTAGCTAGCTTGCAGTGTGGTCAGCATGTCAACCGCTTTCGCAATGATTTCCACTTTCTATATGTTTTGTTAGTTTGACCTGTACAATTCATGACCTGCGCAATAAACGCAACAAAATCAACCTTCTTCACGATTAGTGTTTCAGCATCTCTCAACTCTACAGACTGTTGGGCATCCACTGCATTCATCATCTCTACTCGCTGCTTCGACCATTTTCACTGCCAATGCATAGGAGACCTTCTCGACAGCCCTGATCCTTCCTAATTTGACCTCCTTCACTCAGGGTACTCAGGGAACTCTGGAACAGTGGCGGCTCCTGAAAAAATTCTCAGGGGGGGCAATTTTTCTGATGATTTAGGTGACCTACACACATTTTAAAAAAGATATGTCCAGCAACAACATGAAGACAGGGGCAGCATATAAGTCAATACCAGAAGCATTTATTGACTGATCTGGGGAGATGGATTCCAGTTTCTGTGACGGATTATAAATAATCTCTGATGCCTTTGTTATATTAGCTTTTGGTTGAATGTACACAACGGTAACAAACAATTGGGGGAACTCACGGGGCAGATAGTAAGGTCGCAGTGACACAGAAAGCAGTTCAATGTCGGGGGTACAGAGTCGCTCTCTTACCAGGATCGATTTTCCCTGTGACTGTCAGATCGCGGTCCGCTCTGACCAGGGTGAAGCCGGCCGGCTCCACTTCTCTGTCCGGGACTCTGTCATCCAGCCAAGTCTCAGTAAATGCCAGCAAACAGGCCTCCCGATATTCGTGTTGGAAGCGCAGATTCGCTGACAACTCATCCGCTTTCCCCCTCAGTGACTGGGCATTAATCAGCAAGGTGGTGGGTAAGGGAAGTTTGTTCTGCTGTATTGGATTCCGCTGCCAGCAGCGTTTTCATTATTTAGTCCGTTCGTAGCGGGTATGTACACGATCAACAAGATCAGTCCAAAACCCACCACTGGAAATCCATGGTTGGCAGAATGTTTGTAAACTAAGTGTACAAATTAAAAACATAAAATAACGCCACTAAGTGTACAAATTAAAAACATAAGATAACGCCACACTGCAGGTCGCAACAGAGACGCTGCTACCCGCTATTTTCTTAGTTACGTTCATGGTTACGTTACGTATGACGAAAGCGCGTAAGTGCAAGCCCTCAGAAACCCATAGAGATTGTATTGAAAGCTCTGAAATTTGAAAAAAATAGATTTTACATGGGAGTCTATGACAGACTTCTGGGCGATTTTCAACCTGACTGAAATCGCCACAAAAGGGGGGGGGGGCATTTGAAGCACGACTTTAGCCTGATTGGACATTTAGTGGCAGTCAGATCAGATTAGAACACTGATAACTACTGTTGCCGTGATATAATTGATTAGAAAAAAAATCCCTTCCTTTTCCCGTTTGGCAGTGCGTCGCCCATATCGCCCTATTGAACACATCGCCCCTGCTCTGGAATGTCAATTCCCACCACAATTGCAACACCGTGCATCTTCAAGACACTAAAACAATGATATTCCGTTTGCAAACACTTGACACGTGGGAAAACGTTTTACATTTATGACATTGAAGTAGCTTTTGTACATAAACTCGCATAGCATATCTCATATATCCCAGTTTTACATGGGTTGGGAGAACTTCATCAAACATCAACAATACAGAAAGGTTTTCTTCCTTCCTTCCATTCACAGTGCGTGTTAAGCAACGTGAATCACCTATTCCTGACATGTTCATCTTTGACCATGGCTGCTCAATATCCATCGAGACGCCAGATATGATACCTTTTATCTGTGCCCTGCTCTGTTAATCATAGCATTCCACTTCATGCGTAGATTATTTGTACATCCACAGTGTTTTCTCCTTTTGTTGGGGAGGAGCTACCTGCATTTGTCCAATAGAAACTCTCGTTTTCGTTGCAAAACGTTTTGCAACAGATGAAACGTTTTGTAACAGAATCAGCGTAATTATTTTTTTTTCTGACACATTGGTCCACACTCCAGTCAGACGGTATTCAAGATGCGTAATGTTCTAAAACTGTCATTGTGGAGTGCAGTATGATTATTAGAGGCAATGTTAGCCAGCAGGTGGCAATATTTTACATTTTAGTCATTTTTAGCAGACGCTCTTATCCAGAGCGACTTACAGTTAGTGAGTGAATACATTTCTCATACTGGCCCCCCGTGGGAAACGAACCCACAACCCTGGCGTTGCAAGCGCCATGCTCTACCAACTGAGCTACAGGGGACTACAATATACATTATCAAATAATCATCCTCTCATATGATCCCAAATCCATGTGAGAAAATTATTTTTTATTTGAAGATGAAAGTGGATTCTCAATAAGACAGAAAATAAAAAAGAGGCACCATGAACACACATGTAGACCTAATATTTTTTTATGTTTATAATTTATAATGTATAGAAGTCTTCTCTCAGAGATAATGTAGGCTATAATACAACTTCACCTCTCCACTACCTGAGACTAGGGGCTATTGTCCTCCTCCCCATAGGTTATTGAACTGGATGTGATGGTCTGAGAGATGGAGCAATTTGAAGATAATGCTTCTTCCACTATTAGTCTCTGAACCTCACAGTCATAATGTCTCTCATGACCCTTTTACAGATAGTGCTACCGGGGTTGCCCCTGAACCCTGCTGGAATTGAATTACCACAGCACTCTTCCCCTTTCATCATGACAGAGCTGAGGGGAGCCAGTGGCCTGTGGTGAGAGAGGAGATGCTACAGAGAAGTTCATTGGTTCATTCGCCTCTTTCCTTCCGCCTGCCAGGCACAGATGGTATTCTTTATTAGTGTCAGCGCCAGGTTCATTCTGCTCTGATGAGGACACTCTAGAGGGAGGGCCTGCCTGACATCCTCAGCGGTGATAGACAGCTAGCGGAAGTGGAAGAGTCCAGGGCAGCAGCTAAATGGCATGGCTGAGATAGGATGTAACTATATGGGAGTTGGGAGAGCACAGGGGGGCGCGGTTAAGATGTTGAGAATATCTGTCAGTGAATAGGCCTGAGTCTAAACAAAAGTCTGTAAACATACTTTATCATGTTGATCATTCAAACCAAGCAGATGTTGTCTGCTGTATGAAATACATATGAAAACAAATTTGAGCATGACCATTATAACCAGAATTAACAGAAATGCCAGATTTGGATCCTGGCTTGGCCTATATTCATTTAGGCTTTTATAACACTCATTTTTCAATGTGGAAATCTGACATGGTAATGCAGTGATTAGATTATCATCATGTTTTCTATTGATTAATATAAGCTCAAAGACATCTGTCTCAGCCTTTCAGGGTAAATGTAATCATGTGGATGGTTTTTAATCTATAATTTCATTTTCCCTGCATTCCCTAAAAGCCCTTCACAGATTGCACAG